TACAGAGGTGAAAATATGTGTGTATGAAAGTATATTTGAGTGGGGATCCACTAATGATCGTTAGACCAAACAAGACCAAAGACACTTCATTCAGGATTAGATATGGACCAAATTTTCCACTAGAAAGCTCAGTATGCATAACAGAAACCCAAGATTCCATTGAATTTTCACACAAATTTTCACACCTTCCTCAACTGAATCCGTTTTTACGATCATCAACATTATCAGAAGAAGCTAGTTAGGACCAGAAAGTTTAAGACTCCAGCAAAAATCACTTATTAATTGGTGCAAGAATGGTATAAACCAACAAGAATGTGACTATTACAATTGCACCTGCAAGAGTAAACCTTGGACTAGTCCACAGCATCAGGTTTGACCTCTCTGTTCTTTTGATGGGATCTACTTCCTCAGACAATGGGTATTCCGACCTCCGCGGGTTCCAGCTTACGTATTTGTCTGGAGAGAAATCGGAGAAGATGGTCTTTTTCCCGCGCTTTCTGAACTTGGACCAAGCCTTGTCCCAATCGGTTGAGAACTTATCCCCTGATAGACATAATGGGCAATCAATGATGTAGAGTGTAAATTAGATATTTGATATGATTCAGCAAATTAGAGTAATTTAACTTCATGCCTTGCAATATGCGTATCACCCCTGCTGAAAAACTTCACAGGCAGTGGACTCATTGGCCCAAAAAATGTCTGGGCAAATGAAACATTTACTTTATGTTGTTCAAACGGTTGACATCCATGTCGAACATCAGCTTGATCCCACGACATTACATTTGGTATTGGAAAACTCAGATATTTAGCTTACAAATTAAAAACATCCAAGTTACTCCCAAAGATGTCCAACTGTAGGGGCTAGGGATGTTTGAAGAAACTCTCCAAGTCTTAAGCTCAAGTCTCCAAATCGAAAACTTAAAATAATCTAAATCCCTTTTTACTCTCAAAACTTATTGAAACTGATCTTGGAGTGGGCAGGGCCTTAAAGATTAAAATTTACAATATATATAATCAAAATTGGCAGTTGGGTCATCTGATTTCCCTTCTGGATCTAGTGCTTCTATAAGCTAACTGATGACATTAAGAACAAATGACACTTGATTCTAGATGCTAGACATGTAACTCCTGGTCATTGAATAGAATCACTCGTTCAAAATCGAGGGACAACAGAAATACTGTTGGAAATGATGTTAAAACACATTCAGGAGATTAAGCAGCTTCTCTAGAATTAGAGCAGGGCAAATCAGAAGTTATATTCCTTTATCCGAGTGATCAAGAACATTATCAAGCTAAAGCATAGTACTGCTTTGAAAAGCACTTTGATCAAGAGCATCCTCATGCTTGGCTTGATTGAGCAATTCAGGGATGGAAAATTATTCATCTCGCTATGCACATTATCAAGACATTCTCCAACCAGTGATTGCTTTCATCGCTGAAACACTCATTAAAAGAACTTCATCGGCGAGTAGACAAAACTTGAACTAAACAAAATACTAAACCTAGTTTTAAAAGAAACGGAAATCCAGATTTCAAACTACAACTCCAATGACAACAACAAAAACGACGGAAAATGTGGAAAACATTTCTTAGCACTAATTCACTTCGGAAAAAGCCTCTACGCTAGTACGCCATTTCGATTAGTTTATTAAGCATGGTTTCCAGTTGATCCTTGGCATCTCTCAACTTAAAATCCAAAATAGCTAGAGAGTTCATCAACGAAGGAGAAGTTAAAATCAAACCTAAAATCAGTAAAAGAGAGAAAGGGATACCGATGCCGTACGTGTCTGATCATCGTTATCGTCGTCTTTTGGTGGATCTTTAGGCCTCCTCCCCAAGCACAGCGGTACCACCGGCGAGCAGTTGTAAACAGAAGAAGAAGAAGATGACGACGACGATGGCGACGAAGATGATTTCTGTTTGTTTCTCGAGAAAAAGCTATGAGGTGCGATTATGGTTCCGATTCGAGCCTGAATATCCATTAACATCGCGGCAGAGATTCCAATTCCAGCTTGAAACGCAGAATTCAGACCCTGGTCTGCATCCACCGATCCGCCTGACTGGCCCCCCTCCCTCGTTCCTTCTGTTATCCCGCTGGGAGAACTTCAAGCCTCTAAATCTTCCACGTCATCCGAATCGTCGCCTATGTGGGCCCCGTGGAACCCACGTCAGCCATTTTGGGCCTTTCCTGAACGCGAGGATGAGTTGGGCCTGGCCGTTCGATTTCTCCTACTCTTGGCCCAGTTATAAATTGATTATTTAAATGTAAAACCAAGTAGTGTCTTCTTTTATTTCTGAAGAAAATTGTGGACTCACATAATTTACAAGTCATAATGGTTGGGAAAAACACTCCTGCTACTATGCTCACAATAGAATAGTTAACCGTTATGGTTATAGTAACTTTTTTTTCCTTTTCCAGAGTTATTCAGCAAGTCACAGTAAACTACGCAATAAAAAATCAGAGAAAGCACATAAACGATACAAGAGATTTATATTGATTGACCCAACTATGACTATGTGTAGTCTTCTACGAGGTGTGGGTTCTATTATATTTGGGATAGTACAATGAGGATACAATTTTCTCAGCAATAATCACTCTCTAGAGGACTCCACAAAAACCACCTAGATTCTAGGTACTGCACCAATAGAAACCTAGAAATACAATAATGAAGAATCTCACCAATACTTATAAGAACTAGTTGCCGGCAATATTCTACAACTCGGGATCTCATCTGTCTCTATGCTGCCAACACACTGCCTCAGAGCCACCTCTCAAATTGTGCAACACTCTCAGCTGCCACTCAATTGTGCAACCACACAACATAAAAGGAAAAAAAAACCTAATCGAAGCGAAGTATATAAAGAATTACATCGTAACATTGAGACATTGTCCATATGATGTCTCAACGCTACGACTTTTGTAGCGTTACATCCCCGCCCGCGTGCCTGTGTAATTCGAATTTTCTTCGAATTTTGACAGCATTAAGAGTGCACTCTCTTCAACCAGCATGGTTTCTACAGCATCCTCATTCCATTTTCATTCTTTTCTTCCTATCCTCCATTGATTTGGCCCCACCAATCCCAACAATAATATATATTGATAAATTATCACGAGACTTTAGCAGAAATATGCAAACAAGAAAGACACACGTTATTTGGAACATAAACAAGAAAGACAACAAAACACAGCACATAAACATGAAAAAAAAGAAAGTAAATAACAACCCATCTAGAAAAAGAAATCTCATATCCTATCAGATAGGATTAGACTTCTATTCACACTTTTAGTACACTAATGTCAACAAAGTATATATTTTCTACAAATTAATTTTGGAGGTTGGAAATCCACCACTAATTAGTTGGCCGCTGTAACTTCAATACTTGAGAAGTTTAACTAAATGCTAATGTGATGTTTGTTAACATTTAGGTTAATTCGTTGATTGATAAAATTTGTATAGCTTATTAAAGAGTTTACACCTCAATGGTCCCCCATATTTATCTTTTGAGTATTACTTCTCAATGTTCTGGCACCAACAATTCCCTACTTCCAAAGCATGTGATCTAATGAGCATTTTGACACGTGCACTTTATATTCATGTTGGAAATTATTTCGCTAAATTTTGTCATTTCAAATTCACACTACTATTGAAAAATTGACACCTCATTATTTAAAAAAATATATTTTTTAACATTTCTCTCTTTTACTTATCAAATATTTAATTGTGAGAACAAAATCAGTATGAGTCAACTATTTGTCATTCATGTTTGTTAAAAGGTATTTTTTAAATAAATAATGTCACCCACGTGTCAACCCCCTATTGGGCTACATGTCTTGGCAGCATGCAATTGAAGATGTGGAAGTATTATTGCTTTATCTAAAAAGTCAAATTGAAACTGTGGAAGTATTATTGCTTTATCTAAAAAGTCAAATTTTTAGCATGAACTCGACTATATGATGGACATGAATTTTCAAATATTGCAATAGAAATAAATAAAGATCAAAAAGAAAGAAAAAGACTTGATTAGAATATGATATTTTTAATCCTATCGAAATTTTAAGGGATCATTCAGTTCAACAGAAGAGTGAGATAATTTAGATTTCTCATGTCTTTAAAAAATTATATCAGGTAAGTTATGTCTTATTATCGTATACATGTTTGTTTTAAATGTACTGGAAACTCAAATTTTTAGATATTTATCGTACTTGACCTTTGTTTGTGATAATTGTATAGAGAAGTTTAAGAATGTTGAATAAATATGTTTGTCTTTTTTCATGGCCGGCCCATCAAAATGCAGTAAAATATATCGGTACAAATCAAAATTTTATATATTAATGTAAAAAAAAATTGATAAAGTTAGAATTAATTAACATTGGTAGGAAAAAAACAGGAAAATAGAAAAATGCATAAAACAATATTTAATTTAATAGATGGATATTTTAAAAATATTAACTACGTTAAACAACTTATTATTAATAATATGATTGTTGGCTTTTTAAAAGACACGATGTAAATATTGATTAATCTTGTATGTGGATGTCAAATTATAAGAGAAATATTGAACATAGTAGATAGATATTATATTAATTTATTATAAATCAATTTAACACTAGTAAAATGAATATTCCATTTATATATAGCGTACTCTATTTATTTGTTTTTTCTTTTTTCTTTAAGAGAATATATAACTTACTTTACATTATTTTTTTTCTTTCTTTATTTTTATTTTTTAAATTTTATCAAGCACTAAAGGCGGATATGACATTAATGCCCCCACCGCATTGCCTTCTTTGGCAAAACACGAGCCACTCGTGTCTCATTCTCCCGTCTCTGTTTCCTTCGCTTCTGTGCCGCGGCCCGCACGTTAATTGTCGTTTTTCGAGGAAAAAAATAAATATATTTATTTATTATTTTATATTAATCACATGTGGGAGTTAACCTTGCCACGTGTCGACAAAAGAAAGAGTGTGGAAAAGTTTGAGCGTTGATGACCGGGGTAGTTGGGCCCACCCAGCCCAAATGTGCACCACTAAAAACAAGTGGGCAAGAAGATAAATCTCGGCCGTCGGATCTTGTGGACACTATAACGTCCAGCGTGTAAATCCAATCCTATTCCTAACAAAAAGAAAAAGAAAAAATAAATTCGGTGTTTTTTTATTTTTTTTTATTGGCCTAACGACAGAAGTACGAGAACGAGAGGGAGACAGAGACGAGGAGGTGGAGTAATCAGGGATTCGTGGTCCGCAATTACTCGCGCGTAGCTATCCAAAATCTGTTATGGGCCCACTTTGTGTCCCGATTCCCGATTATTAGGCCACCTAAATTGTTGAAGAACGCCAAAACATCGGCGACAGTGTCTCCTCCCGTGTAGCTTCAGTTCAAGTCTATTGAACTTTATTATTATTATTTCTTAAAAAGAAACTAAAACCATTTTTTTGAATAGAAAAGTTTTTATTTGTTTGGAATATCGTTTTCGAGGGCCTTTTTTATTATTATTATTACTAATTTCTAAAAGGCTAAGTTTCATAATAGCTCGTTAAATTTTAAATTTGTTGAATTTGGTATCTAAGAGATCTATGTTTTATCGCATGTTTTATAAAGTTAATTAATTTATTAGATATATATTTAATTTTTGTATCTAATAAAATTCTAAATTTTCAGTTTTGTATGTAATAAGTCAATTATCAACTTGAACATATATTTCGATTGTAGATTCGAATCATCATCACACCTGTTAATATACTAAGATAAAATCTATAATTTAAAAATAAATGTTGTCAGAGTGAACACGGCTATCTAACCAAAAGATTGTGAGTTTGATCCTTCATCCCACATTGTATTCAAAAAATACAAATCAAATAGYGAATTGGATAAGAGACTAATAAAAAAACGATGATGAAATATAAAAATAAACATTATAAACAAATTTGATAACTGTAATTTTTTGAAACCGTTTTTTATATAGTCTAAAATTTATGATTGAATGGCTTGCCTGTGTTAAGGTAATTTGACTATAAATTACCTCATAAACATGTAATTTTTGTAGAACAATAACTTAAGAAAAGGTGAAAAAATACGTTAAAAGATTAAAAATAACAATAATAACTAGTAAACTGAAGGAAGACAATTAATAAACAAAATCTCATATAGTATTTATTTTTTCGGTTTTTTAATGATATATAATATTTTGTTTATTGTGTTGATCTTAATATTATATAAAATAAAAATTCTAAAGCCAACATAATCTCAATTCATTTATACATTACTCACCTCAAATAAATATCAAGCATGGATCAACTACCCAACGACAACGTAAACAAATAAGTGAATACAATAATCGCCTTTATATTTATGTAATTTTAAAATATTATTCGATATGTAATGGATATTATTTATGAAGTCATTAATTACATTTAATCAATTGTAAATATGACATTAATATAGATTATAAAAGTCAAAATTATACACAAAAGTTAATATGAACAAATCTCTCGTAAACTAAGAAGAACACAAAACATAAAGAAGGGAAGATGAATAAATGAGAGTAAAGAAAAAATGTGAAATTTATCTATTGACTTACATTGAGATGTGTTTTACTAAAACTTCGTATAAACAACCACTATTTATAAGATTTTAAAAATATAAGTTATAAGAGTTGATATAAATCGAAGACACGAGAATTATGACGATTAATAAGACGAGTTAATAAAAATGTGTAATTTATAATAATCATGAACATCCAATCAAATCAAATATATTGAAGGTAGTTTACATGAATAATTTATCGACATCTATATATATCAAAGACTGGTCAATCCAAGAGTATAGATATGTATATATCATCCTTATTAACTTATTTTATATTTTATTATATCAATATTTTATGGTGTGTCATTTTTTTTAGTACTCTAAATAGTCAAGAGAGGGAGAGCGTCTTCGTGAAACACACGAACAATTCAAGAAATCATTTTTTTCAATTCAAATTTTAGAATACAAGTCTTCCGAGCATGAATTGTTAGGGTGTGGACAACTTATAGGTCTTCGAGTAAGAATGAAGCCGTCAATAATTTTCATTCGTAATTTCTTCTTAATTTCATCGACAAAAAGCTGAATTTGATCCTCATGAATCTATCGTCTTATATCAGAATCCATAGAACACAAGAGTCAATTCTTTAAAAAAATAATAATAATAAATAAATAAACATTTAAAATGGATTATATACAACGACGAGGAAGGCAATGTACGGTAGGCGATTAAATCGTTTTAATCGAACGCTTCGTAGTGGCCAACCAAACGAAAGGTGTCAAATTTCGCTCCACAAGTTTTCTCACCTTGCCCGCCACTGCCTACCTTCCTCCGTCTCTGCTCCGATTCAGCCTTATCACGCTCTGAATGATTATCGATCAGATGAACTCCAACGCTTCCAATCCACAATCTTCCATGGCGGCGTCCACTGCTGCAGATTCCTCCGGCAAGAAGGTCCGGAAGCCCTACACCATTACCAAGTCCAGAGAAAGCTGGACCGAAGAAGAGCACGACAAATTCCTCGAAGCTCTTCAGCTGTGAGTTTCTTTAGCGTTACTTGTAGTTATCTATGAGATTTCTTCAACTGATATTCATCTCAATCTCTAATTCTACCTTCTGAAAGCAAATAACTAAGTCCTTCTTTGGAGATGATTACTTTTGTTATGAATTGCTTTATAACTTCCGGAGAAAGTTTCGTCTCCCGCATATTTTGTAATCTTCACGACTTTTTTTCTGGCTATGATGTTGAGGCTGCGTGGTTTTAGGATTTAAACTTCGAGTTATCTCAACTGTGATGGTGTAATTTTAGTGTTCTCGCTCTTCGTCATTCCATATCGCTTGATTATGTTTCATCCAGAATTTAGTCGTGGCGTCGTTATGAGCTATGATTTTATTGCTCTGTAATCCGAGGATTTTGTAGGTTAGTTATTAACTGACGTGAAATCAGAGTGCTGGAGCTATGAAAAGAATCAATTGGAAAAGAAAGAATCGGAATTGAGCTCAATTCAATAGAATCCCAAAAAACGAATAGGGAGAGGTCATTTTTTGAGGAGAAACTATGCACTTAATTTATAATTTCACCTCTGGTGGCAATTTTACGATTTGAGATTAGAAATTCGCTCATTTTTATCCAGTAACTGAAGAGAATTGGAGGAGAAGAAATTTACGAATTCAGCAATTTTAGAATCTATGTTAAATTTTCAGGTTTGATCGTGACTGGAAGAAAATTGAAGATTTTGTAGGTTCAAAGACTGTTATTCAGGTGAAAGACGGTCGATTTGGTTTGTTGGAGCTTTTGCTCTATGATTTCTTCCGACAACATGATCTTTACTCTACAGTCCATGCTGCAGATTCGAAGTCACGCCCAAAAATACTTTTTGAAAGTCCAAAAAAATGGAACGATGGCACATGTACCTCCACCACGCCCAAAACGCAAGGCTTCACATCCTTATCCACAGAAGGCATCCAAAAATGGTACGGCAGTATGATTCATAAATAAGCAAAACATATATTTCAAATCTTCTAATTTCTGATGCACTTATCTAACTCCTATTTGACAGTTTTGGTACCGTTGCAAGCATCAATGGCTTATCCTTCTTCAGTTAATACCCTAGCACCTGGATATTCTCCTTGGGACGACACTTCAATAATGATCAACCCTTCATCTAGCAAAATCATGCAACCACAAGATGAATTTACAAATCTTCATAGATCTGACGGTAGGCATATTTATTTCAATGTAGTAGTATTTCAATGTAGTAGACTGGCATTGTAAATTGGACGTCTTCAGCTCTTACCTTATCACCTGATGATACAATTCAGCTGATATTGCATCAGAAGGGACAGCGATGATCATTAGTAGCAGCTTCAATGGTATTGGGAGCCCTGATATGGCTAACCAGGGAAAACAAGCTCCTATGCTTCACGGTAACCTTCTAGCTTGATTATATAACGTTAACTCCGTGTAAAACCACGTGTGAGGGTGGGTGCTTTTAGGTAAAACGATGATCTAACTTCTGTTTATTCGGTATCCTGCAGGTCTACCAGATTTTGCTGAAGTTTATGGCTTCATTGGAAGCGTTTTCGACCCAGACAGTAAAGAACATGTGAATAAACTCAAGGAGATGGATCCCATCAACTTCGAAACAGTAAGTTTGAAAATCTGTCGTTGTTCCTTTGACTTGTACTTCCAAGTATAGTTAGTGTCTGTAATTGTAGATGAATAATCAGCTAGTTTAGACCGTCGTGCACAATTAGTCGATTATAAATCATAGTCTGCTTGTTTATTATGCTCAGTTACAAACCATGATGATCATTAGAGACTCCACATTAATGAGTGTAAAACACCCTTCTGGAAATTACCTCAAGCACTCGCTCATAACTACAGTTGGTGACTTGCAGGTTTTGTTGTTGATGAGAAACCTCACTTTTAACTTGTCCAGCCCCGACTTTGAACCACTCGTAAGTCTGGCATACTTCCATTCTCCAAGTATATATATGTCTGCATCTGTCTGTTCTGCCATGTACTTTTTAGTATCAGTTGCACATGTTTTTATATCTTGTGCCAGAAGCCTCTCTCCCTTAGCATGGTTGGTTATGAAAAACCTTGTGCTTTTTATATTTGATTAGAACGAAGTAGGAGTGTTAATGGGTTGGATTGAAATACTTTTCAAATCCAACCAAATTGTTAAGAGTTGTAAATTTATTCAACCTAAACAACTTTTATTAAATAATGAATCCAAACAACGCAAACCTTAAATATTTCGGTTGAGTTGATTCAGGTTATTTGGGTCACTCATTCAAAATAAAAATGTAAATGTTAATATCTTAAACATTTATTTACATATTTTTCTAACACTAAATCAAGATGAATGTTTATTTTTGTGGTGAAAAATTACACCCAAAAAACTTTAAAAGTTATTTTTAAAAGTTGGAGAATGAATAATCCATAAAGAATTATTGAATGAAATAAAATTAAAAATAAATATATCCGTATATATTTTATGGTCAACGAGAGAAATGATTTAAAAAAGTAATAATGAGTTCAGGTTGGTTCGGTTTAATTCAAATTTGTTTTAGGTGAACTCTTGAACCAATCCAATCCATAAAGTTTTCATTTATTAACAGTATTGATTGGGTTGATTGATTTTTCAAGTCATCGGATTTTTTGAGCACCCCTAGAGTGAAGTTCTATGACTTGAAATGCAATTATACATTCCCATTTTATTGATAGAGTGGACTGTGAAACCAGATTACTAGTTGCCGCTAGTTACCTTTGAATTCTACAAAATCTATTTTCTTGAGGGTTTTGATCCAAGCATTAAACATTATTCTGCTTTTCTGAAAATGCGTACTGAGCTCTTTTGCGCGTTATATTATATCGAAAAGACGATTCTTAGAAACTGACATTGTGTAATTCCCACATTGAAGGATAACATTCTGGAGACTCTGGTTGATAGTCCTTTTGGAATTGAATAGTAATGTGTTCTCCGCACATTGTTAAGCATTCGAAAAATGTTCTGATCGGTTTCTATGTTGTCTTAACTGATTTGTTTCAGAGGACAGTGTTGTCAACCTATGATGTCAATACTAAAACAGTGGCAGTCACAGCAGGAATGCCTACAAAGACGCATACAGATGACATATCCTGTTGAATAACGTAGTACCTAAAACTAGCTCATTACTCTGTATCACCTCTTATTTCATCTGCCTATTAATTTTCGAAGTCGGAGTGTTTGAAAGCCGCCCATACAACGGTAGCCAGGGCAGTTAGATCAGAAGATTGGGTTAAAATTCTCCGACTGATTCTTTTGAGGCTCTTTGAATTGGATCCTCATCTTGGCACCTCACCAAGGCTCCCACTTCACTGGTTTGGCCTATAACCAAATGTATATTTTGTAAGATCTGTTTGATGAAATTTTGTCTTTTGCTAATAAAATACAGCCCGTCTCTACGAGGGCACATATCGCTCGGATCGTTGAACTGGAATGTGGCTCGTTTGCAGAGTGGTAATGGCTGGATGCGCATTTTCTCGTGCTTGTATTGTTTCACCACCTCTTTTGTAGGTTGTTTTTTGCCAAGCAACCCGGAGGAAGGAAATTGGTTAGTATATATAATAGAAATGTGTTTCTTAATAATAATCTTCCTTCCCTTCTAGTTATTGTCTATTCGACGTTATACATCTGTTTAATTTACATTCGTTTTCATAACTCAGTTGGTAAGATATCTCATTTCATGACTAAAATGGAGATCGGGGCAGATCAAGATCATCTAAGAAATATAGATCTATGTCATGCGAGATCACTTCTTGGTATAAAAATATAGCTAATGAAGTGCCTTTTATATTTTATACTTTTTGTTTTCAATTTTTGAGCAACATGGAATCCATGTGGTAATTGTTCATGTTTCTCGTTCCTCGTTCCTCATTTGTAAGTAGGTACAAATTTTGGAAACAACAAAATCAAGTTTTTTTATTTATTGTTCTCGTTTTCATTTCTGGTCAAAACATTAATAAAAATATTATTTTATCATTTTTACTTGTAAATATTTTGCTTAAAAGTGTTTCAGTTGAATCATGTTCAAGTTGGATATTAGTTGACTCACTAGTTAATCGACTTCTATTTGATTTGTTGTATCAGTTTACCATAATAGTCATAGGTGATATTGTCAATGAGATGAACTGACATTATCTTGATCAACATGGTGCAATGTATCATCCCATCGTCGAGATGACATTTTATGACCAAAAATTTATATGATCAATATATCAATTAATTCATCGTGGCTCCAAAATTTAAAATTTGAGTTAATTTAATCAAACTATATTTTTGGTCTATATATTATAGGGAGGGTATTTTCAAATTTTATTATTTTTTAGTACAATATGTGGGGGTGGAAAATCAAACTCACAATCTCTTGTTAGAGATATATGTCAATTACTGTTGAGATATATCATTTTGACTTTTATTATTTTTTAGTTGTCTATAAGTCATCGTCTAGTTTGATTAAACTAGCTTTCTCTAATACATTACTTGATTTCAAAAAATATAATAATAAATAAATAAGTTGTAATATCGTGCAAATATATCTCAAATTTAGTTTAAATCCCATTGTTAACTAATAAGGTTCGTCCCAACACGAGTGTCAGTGTTAATTAGATTTTCCTCCAAAGTTGTTGTACTATTGATGTAAGTTTCAAAAGAAAAAAAAAATGGTTGAAATACTTTCAAATGCTATATTGAAAAAGTGTTGTCAAACCATTTTTTTTTTCTTTTTTGCATTTGTAAAAGTAGCAAAAGACTAATAGAAATTTTCAAAAGCAACCATTACTTTTAAATTTTGAATCAAAAGGTAAAACTTTAAAGCTTATCCCAGGAAAATTGAAGTCTAATATACTTTCAATGAACACGCAACCCAAACAATGATATATGTGATATAACATCCACAAAATTTTGTATTAATGTATTGGTGGTGATATTTATCAAACTCACAACCATACCTAATATAAATTTACAAAAGTAAATTTTAGCATAGATTAACTATATATATCATCTACTAAAAGTTTGAAAGCTTTGAGTCCTCACCCAACGTATTGCTGAACTAAAAATAATAATAATGATAAGTTACAAAGTCTAAGGATTGAAAATGAAACCATTAAAAAGAGAAAAAAAGAATGAAAAGAAAAATGAAAAGCTTCGATGAACAAGTTGTGTAGGATCAAGCAGGAAAATCACATGCCAGATCAAGCAGGCAAATCTTCAGGTTAGTCTCTTAATGGGCTGGATTTGAAGAGCCCATGGGCTAGCCCAATTTCAGATTACCTTTTAAAATTGGACTGGGCTTATAAAATCGGACTTCAGAGACGAACCATCACATGGGCTCCGGATCCTTGGCCCAAATTAAAAAAACCCTAATTCTGTTCCCAACCTCAACACGCACATATAAATTCACTCGATGATCCCTTCTCATTGTTTACTAAGAAGAAACCCTAGTTTTATTGCTCCGGCTCGCACTCCCCCGCCCAAAATGGCCGCCGCAGCCGCTCGTCCGCTCGTCGCCGTTCAATCTCTCGAAGGCGACATGGCCACAGATTCTGCGCCGACGGTGCATTTACCTGATGTGATGAAAGCTTCCATTCGTCCCGATATCGTTAACTTTGTTCATGCGAATATCTCGAAGAACAGCCGCCAACCCTATGCTGTGAGCAAGCGCGCAGGGCATCAAACTTCCGCCGAGTCATGGGGTACTGGACGAGCTGTGTCTCGTATCCCCCGTGTTCCTGGTGGCGGTACTCATCGTGCCGGTCAGGGTGCCTTCGGAAACATGTGTCGTGGTGGGCGTATGTTTGCTCCGACTAAGATCTGGCGCCGATGGCACAGAAAGATCAACGTGAATCAAAAGAGGTACGCTGTTGTTTCTGCCATTGCTGCATCTGCTATTCCTTCTTTGGTTATGGCCCGTGGGCACCGGATCGAGTCTGTTCCGGAAATGCCTCTTGTGATTAGCGACTCGGCTGAAGGAATCGAGAAGACCTCTGCTGCTATTAAGGTTTTGAAGCAGATCGGCGCATTCCCTGATGCAGAGAAGGCCAAGGATAGCCACGCCATTCGTCCGGGTAAGGGTAAGATGAGGAACCGTCGCTACATTTCGCGCAAGGGTCCGCTGATTGTTTATGGCACTGAAGGGGCTAAGCTAGTTAAGGCCTTCCGCAACATTCCTGGCATCGAAGTGGTGAATGTGGAGAGGCTTAATCTTCTGAAGCTCGCTCCTGGAGGTCACCTTGGGAGATTTGTCATCTGGACTAAGACTGCTTTTGAGAAGCTTGACTCCATTTATGGATCTTTTGAGAAACCATCTGAGAAGAAAAAGGGCTACGTGCTTCCGAGGTCCAAGATGGTTAACGCTGATTTGGCTAGGATCATCAATTCCGATGAAGTACAATCTGTTGTTAAGCCCATCAAGAAGGATGTGAAGAGACCTTCATTGAAGAAGAACCCTCTCAAGAACCTTAACTCCATGTTGAGGCTTAACCCATATGCTAAGACTGCAAGGAGGATGTCTTTATTGGCTGAGGCACAGCGCGTGAAAGCTAAGAAGGAAAAGCTTGACAAGAAGAGGAACATTATCCCCAAGGTATCTCTTAAATTTTATTTTCCGGATATATAATTTTTTGTTACTCTTTGGTTGTTTATCAACGAAATATGTTAAAGGTTTTTTATCGCTTCATATGATTTGCGGTTCTTTTGTGGAATTTGGAAATAATGCTATTCAAATGTTATGATGACAGTTCAAAATACGATTCTATATTCTGTCTGCAGTGAGATGATTAGATCATAGTATTGCACTAGGAACCGTAAATATTTGCAGCCATGCATTCTGCTGTCATTTGATTAAGATGTGGTGGAACTTGGAACCATATTGTTTTCTATACAAGGTTCTAGAATTTTGTTAGACCGTTTGTAGTATTGTATTCGTGTGCCGCTTTCAACTTGGTGGATGAGAATTTTCTGCTTTGCAAGGTTTTTGTTGTCACTTTATTCATTTAGATTTATACTTCACATTTTCATAATTTCACCTTTTCCACCCATATAATTGAGAACTCCTATTTTTGAATGATAGATAGCATCTGTTTCATACGACATTGATGAAGTATCTGTGAAATTTTGATCCATTCATTTCTTGGAACCTTGAATGTTATTAGAGTTAACTAGTTTCCACAGTTTACTTCCTGGTGTCATGAATCGCATTTCTATTTAATAGTCTGTATTTTAATTAAATCGGTTTTATAGTGTATGCTCATGCTTTCTTTATAGTTGAATATTACTCGCCAGTTTTAGGGCGTGTTCGAATATGTCATTTATCTTAGATGAATGTAGGATGAGTTTCTTGCTTTTTTCATGGTTTGATATTGAGACCGTTACTGACCCTTTTGTTCCCGTGTTGTTTTCAGGAGGATGCCTCAGCAATTAAGGCAGCAGGCAAAGCATGGTACCAGACAATGATTTCGGACAGCGATTACACCGAGTTTGAGAACTTCTCCAAGTGGCTCGGTGTCTCCCAGTGAACTCGTTTATCTTTGACAATTTCATAGACCTTAGTTTGTTAATTAAATTTTGTACGCTGCTGTTGGTGCCTTTTCCGTTTTGCGTCATGGAGGGAAGTAGGTGGGTTAACGACCCCAACAAAGGTAATAGTCCATATTATAAAGGTTGGGTTCTAGAGCTCCTCCTACTTCCTTGCCTCCTTTCTTGTCTTGGTGGAAGAGTATTTATTTTTGGAAATGAAATTGAACATCTGAAGAGCTTAGGAGGTTGCAGTTCAGTTTTTTGTTTTACACTGTCAACTTATATTTTAATTTTGAATATTTTGTTTACTATTTGATGATGATGATGCTTATAGGTCCTCCATTTTTGCAATGAATGTTCATCTTCATGTGATTTTAGGTATTTTCTAAGTGGGTTGTAGCATTTGCACAACATAGATTATTTCTCATATAATTTTAATCTATATTCCTATCCTCTGTTTCCTGGTTGGTTTGTTGGGTCATCCTGAAACTAAGCTTTTTTTTTCCACTGAAATGGATCACTATAGTTTTGAGGTTATCATCATGTGTTGTTTTGGTATTTGATTATTTTTGTTGACTTATTTACTGTTATATTGTCTATGTGCTTCTTGGTATGCCAAGAATGATGCAGATAAGTTTTTTGTTGTTGTTTGAGAGCGAGCGTGGAACTGGGCCTTCCTTTTACGGCCCATATTTCCAGTCCAGCCCATTATTTGTAAACAGGTGGGCTATCTTACGGCCCAGTGTTATGTTTCATGTCGCAGTCCTCTCCTGAAGTAGAACTGGGCCTGTCTGGTACGGTGCTCTCTATGCCGTACCCTTCGGCCTTCACTTGCATCTGTTTTTTTCCAAGGATTAAAAATACAATACAAAATTTATAGATATTCCTTTTAGTAGGTGAAATGAAATGAAATTGAAATATAAAGTTGACCATGAAACTGATATAATAACAAATCTGATGGTGTCGTTTTCAAAATTTCTAGAATTTCGAAAAGAAAAATAATCGCGGGGAAGAAATTGTAATTGTATTTATAATAGACTTTGTAGCATTTGTATTCTTTTTGTGCTTTTTAGGAAGATTTTGGGGAAAATTTAGGTGGAATGGTGGTAACTGTAGTGGGCGACTTATTGAAAATTTATATAATTTGATATGGCAGGTGGGAATGATGCACTAAATTAGGACAAGAATTGGGGGTACCTTTTTTTTTTTTAATTTAAATGAGAGTAAATGGAAAAGGTGGGATTTTTATTTCAATTGGTGCTTGAAATAAATGCCTAGGTATATCAATTTTCTATTATTGTTATTTATCGTTAACAAATTTAATTTATTAATATATTTTTCTAAATTTTGCTAATTTAATATTCCTCTTTAGGCCAGAGGAATTTGTAACGACTATTATTGAGGCCCCATCTTTCGGAAATTAACCATCTTTTTTTTATGAAGTTTTTCTGTTTTCGTAACATAGAAAATGCAAAATCTCACTTTCCGCTTTCTTTTTGTTTTTTTAACACAAATATTAATTTATCCGAAATATTGATTTAATTATAATAAATATTTTTCTCTTGTTAAAAATATTATAAGTTTTTTTAACTTCAAGAGTTGACGTCCTAATCAATGACAAAGTTATAATTTTTGTACCGCAAAAGCTATTGACATTAAATTCCAATGCACCGTACCGTACATATTCTGTATGCCTGACCATAAAAAACACATGGTTTTTTCTTTTAATTTTGTTGTTGTTGTTATTATTATTATGTTTTAGCTTATAATTTTATATTTAATATCCATTCTTGTCTTGGCATCAATTGTTTGCCGTGCTTTAGCTTTTTTCCTTTTTTCTTTTTTGATAAATTAGTTAGACATAAAGTGTTTGTCTTCCAATCTGATTATTTTTTTCAGAGTGATATTTATGACGGTATAACGTTTGATCTGGCGCCCAATTCTTGTTGTCTTATTTGTAGGTTTCTTTGTTAGACTATAGGATCCATCTTTTTTCTGCCATATACCTAATTTTTTTCCAAAAGTAAGTTAGTCGATTTACGGTGACTATAAATTTTAGATGTTTCATTTTGTTATGAATTATGTAATTAGAGATAAAAACACTTATCTATAATTAAACAAAATTTAATTGCAATTATATTTAGAGATTGTGTGAGAGACTTGATGCCCTTTTGGGGAAGGGTTTATGCAATGCAGGGAGAAAGTTTTCAAGCGTCTCTAAAAAGTGGATCTCTTTTTTCCTTAGGGATTTGCATAAAAGCGATTAATGATCATTAGTTTTCCATATTTAAATATATTATTTTGCGTAGTGGTAGAAAATGTTTGTGAAATGTGTTTGTACAACAAAATATGATCTCAGACCAATCAAGTTGAGGTGGACCGATTGAGCGAACGAATGAATCGGAGCTAGCTGAAAGAATGACTTGTACAAGATACCAAACACTCCGACGCTGAAGTCGGTAAAGAGATCGACTGTGATATTAAGACCGAGATAGAATCATATACCTGACTGCAGAGTGGGACCCCCAATTATAAAGCTTGGGTGTCTGATAGTACGTTCGACCGGCAGTTGAGCATGTCGAATTTCTGCTATTCCTATCGAAGATGGTCGTGTTGGTTGTGCAGAGTTTGGGTATCTGCACCCTGTTTTTTGCTAAGTAAAGTTGGTTGTTCCTGGGGTGGAACAAGTATCTGAGATCGTGCTACCTATTGATCATTCTGTTCTTCTGACTCGATCGTCTCGAGCCGCGGTGTAACTATCCTCCCTGCATCCTCCACGAGACAAAATGGTTTTCCCCTCCAACAAAATGTTTATTAAAATTCAATAAAAAAAATTGAATGTCTGCATATTAAATACACATTACAAGTTTGATATCTAACTTTGAGAGTTGTATCTAACAAGTTCTGACTTTAAGAAAAAAAAAAAGTCTAAAATTTTAAACTTTCAATATTGCACAAATTCCTAAACCTATGAAGTTTCTAATATGGTATTGATCAATTTTATATTTAATAAGTTGCTCAACTTTTTAAAATCATCTCACAAATAAGAGATATATTATATTCAAAATCAAAAATTGAAGGACTTGTTGAACACTTTTTAAATGTTTAGAGGACCTATTTACACCCTTATTGTTCAATAAATAAAATTTAGGTGCTTAGAATGGGGTGGAGAATCTTCATTTAAATTACTCGCGGGGAGGAGGATAAAGACCGGGACGGTAGATACACTAAAAAATCTTATTATTCTTCCTATATACACATATACTAAAAAGAAAGTTAGATTCTTCCCCACCCACCTAAAGAGGAGGATTTAGAGCATGTGTAAGTGAAGTTTCATCGTTGATTGATTAGAAATTTATGTAGAAAAGATATTTTATTGATAAATAATTTTTAAATAAAAGAATAAACAGAAAAAAATTTGCGAGGAATCCCGCTCTGAATTCTGGAGAAATCCTCGCCCTTGAGAAATTTTACAGGAATGGGGAATTAAATGAGTCCGCCCCATTCGATCTTGTAAACATCTCTACTAATTACTAAATTGAAGACCAAACTTATAATTTAACCCATCAGTTTAAAGAAAACTTTTCCAAGGGTCCTTTTAAATTCCTCAAATTCAAACCACACCCTATTATACTCAACAAGCTTTCGATTTACTTCCCCACAAGCAATCATGTGCAAACTATTTTCTTTAGAAAAACGCAAGTCATTGTTTCACTTATTTGTTCATATTTTACATTTAATTGTACAAATTGCATCATTCTCATGTACAAACTTGTTCTTTCTTTTTCTCTTTTTCCCTTCTTGCACATTCCAAAAAATGTGCCATTATTTTGCTTAAAAAAGGATGTACTATATTAAAGCATATAATGTATATTTTAAACCCAATCTCAAAAAAGGGAAGAAGAAGAGTAGTCTAGAGAGAGAGAGAGAAGCAGAGAGTGGTCTCAGTCACAATCGGTGTCCATTGGTCTGATTGATTTAACCTCCACACAGTTTTCATTGTTTTCTTTCAAAAAAACAACAGAAAATTGAAGAACAAGTGTAGTTTTTAGTGACCCCCACCTCCCCTTTTCTCCTTCTTCATCCATCGCCATGGAAATGGAGCTCCACCTCCAATAAATAAACGACTTCTCCCACTTTCTCTCTCTCTCTCTGCCCGTCAAAATCACTCTGAAACAGTTATGAGTCTGTTTACTGGTGACCCACTTCCACTTTTTTGAAATATCTCCATTGTTTTCTTCTTCTCCTTCTTCTTCTTCTTCTTCTTTCCCATCCATTTTTTTATCAGTTTCTTCCACAATGGTTCTCTGATTGAGTGACGATTGAAGTGTTGTGATGATGGGTTGATTTCTTTGGTTTCGCAATTATGCTTTGATTTCCATGGTTTTTGCAGAAGGGGGAGCTTCAAACCCAATGCTGGATCTTAATCTCGAATTTGTTTCATCTGGGTCGGCCTTCGATTCTGTTGAGATGGTTACTGGGAAGATGCTGCAGTTTCCGGCGAACAGAATGGAAAGCACCGGAAGCTTCAATTCGTCCTCCGTCGTTAACGGCGATCCTTCCGCCAGCACCACCGGCGATGAGGACTCCTCCTCCAACGCCGATGAGGCTTTCCCCTATTCTTTCAACGCGGTTCAAGAAAGCTTAACGGCCAAATCGCTCAGTCTTTCCGATGACCGCCGCGACCAGACGATGCAGCTCTTCCCGTTGACGGGCGGATTCTCTTCTGGTTCGAGTTCTCAGAAGCGGTGGCCGGAGGTTTCTCGGCCGGAATATGGTTATCGCGGCGGCGTGCCGGAGCGGGGAGCAACGGTACAGCCGGCGCAGCAACAGCATCAGCCGATAAGGAAGAACCGGCGGGGTCCAAGGTCTCGAAGTTCGCAGTATCGTGGGGTTACCTTTTATCGAAGAACAGGAAGATGGGAATCGCATATTTGGTAAGGCTTTTATTCCCCGAAAATTCCTTCTCCTTAAAGGTTGCTTGAATTTGAATCCGCCATTCTATGCCATTCTTGAGGATATTTTCTGCTCGTTACAGGGACTGCGGGAAACAGGTTTATTTGGGTACAGACATTTCTGATTTCTTGATTTTCTTGTTTCGAATTTCGATTCCATTTCATCCTTCTGATCAAAATCTTGTCCATGGCTATGGCTGTTTCTTACTTACTTCAGGTGGTTTCGATACTGCTCATGCTGCTGCTAGGTAACAGAAACCACTTTTCTTCTTCGTTATTTGGCCATTTTCCGTTGGATTTCTCTCAGAATTTTGATTTTCCATCTCAGGGCATATGATCGGGCGGCGATCAAGTTCCGTGGGATCGACGCAGACATTAATTTCAATGTCAGTGATTATGATGAAGATATTAAGCAGGTGGGCTAGCCTAAGATAATACTTGTTCTTGTCAGAAATTCAAATTCTCTTTTAACGCCATTGATTAGGAGCTTTTCTTTGGCTGCCATTAACACCTCCCCAGATGAGTAATTTCACCAAGGAAGAGTTTGTTCATATTCTTCGTCGCCATAGCACCGGATTTTCGAGGGGGAGCTCGAAATACAGGGGAGTGACTCTGCATAAATGTGGGCGATGGGAAGCTCGGATGGGCCAGTTTCTGGGCAAGAAGTGAGTCAAAACTATTACATGGTCTTACATTTTGAAGAGAAACATCCTTAGACTTTGTTTTCTGCGTTTTTTGGCTAATGTTTCTGAGATTTTTGTCTTCACTTCAATTCAGCTGTTTTTTGTCTTCTTTTTGTTCTTTCTTTCTTTGTAGGTACATTTATCTTGGTCTCTTTGATAGTGAGATAGAGGCTGCAAGGTCTTCCCAAATTATTCAAGTTAATTAGCATTTCTAACTTAAACCCTTTCTTTTAAACTTGATATTTTGCTGTTTAATTAGAGCTTATGACAAGGCTGCCTTGAGATGCAATGGGAAGGAGGCTGTTACCAATTTTGAACCAAGTTCTTATGTGGCTGAGATGGCTTCTGAGACTGATGCAGGAGGTCTGGTCCTTCCCTGTTCATACAATTTTTTGCTGTTTGCTCTTTGTCATTCTGTACTTCTAGTTCTCAAGAAGCCCGTTAGCTTGATCGAGATATGAGTAATAATCGGTATCGAAAACCGTCTTCCTTTCACGCTTGCAGAAGACAACCAGATTCTTGACCTGAACTTGGGAATTGCTCCCCCAAACAATCTTTCTGACGCCCAAAGTGAGAGCATTGACATTTATGGCAATGGCTTTCATCACGGCTTGCACGACTTTCTCGTCGATAGAAGAGCGACGGTAAGTCTCGAAACTGACTTCTGGCATTCCTTCTATTTCCCCTTTCATGTCTGCCTAACATCTAGCTCTATTGGCAGCTTGAAAACTCTGTTTCAGCAGCAATTCGATCATCTCAGGCATATGGCTTTGCAGTGCCATCTGATTACCATTCTTCTTGGAATGTTTCAAACTCCAGTTTCTTTCCCATCGCGAGGGTAATGCACCATTTTCCAACAAAGTTTACCAAACCATGTGATCTCTGTTCTACATATTCAATAAATCAATATCCATGGATAGATATACTGTTTGAATTTCAAAAAGTATCCCTAGATTCTTGAATTTTTCAAATTTTATATATTCAACCCATCCTTAACTTATTAGACATTTTTTAGAATTGCCTATTAGACACAAAATTGAAAATTTGAGGACCATCATGCACTTTTTATAGTTAAGAGACTTATTATTAAGCACAATATTGAAATTTCGATACCTATTAGAAAACTCTGAAAGTTCATTTAGCAAACTTATAATTCAACCTACTATTTTATTGTGTGAGGTCCACGCCATTCATTTATTATAGTTGGGGGACTACAATAGTATATATTCAAAAGACGTAAACGGTGGATATATTATTTTATCACCTGTGATCCACACTATTCATTTATTTTAGTTGAAAGGACTAATTGTAGTACACAATCAGTAGATATATTGTTTTATTACGTGAGGTCCACACTCTTGTCTTATTTTAGTTGAAGCGTACGTACTTCGTCCATTCACATTCACCCACCAACGCGATCGTAGATATGGTTCACGCGCGATCTGCGATCATTTATTTTAATTGAATGGACTATGTATTGTCTTTTTTTTTTTTCCTTCCTTTGATCTTCTGACTGTTAGCTGTGAAATAGTAACTCCATTGAAAATTTTCAATGCAGGAAAGAGCAACAGAGATGAGGAATTTGGGGGTTGGGTCATGGGAGTGGCAAATCCATAGCCCACCCACAGCCTCTGTGCCACTCTTCTCTGCTGCAGCATCATCAGGATTCCCTTTTTCTTCTGCTTCTTCTTCATCTTCTTCTTCAACTGCCATTGTTTCACCATTTTCAGAGCTCCATTGTCCAGCAATCTTCCACCACCATGCTTCTGCACCACCCATCTCCAACGGCAGCAACTTCTCCAACTTCTACTGTAGGAGTTGATGAACAAAGATGAACACACTCACAGTTCAAACTTCAAAGGTATTCTTTGTTTCAGAGAGATTATTATAGGTAGCCTTGAAACTGACTGGCCTTTGTATGGGCTTTTATAGATTCTCACCATATGGAAATTACTAGAGGATTTAAACCAAGATGTTGGGAATTTTAATACTTTTTTCCTATGTTTATGTTCAGTGAAGTTATGCATTTTAAGCTTGGTTTGCTCTTATGTTGTTTTGGTTTTTTGTAGTTTTAAATGTTCTAGTTTGGTTGCTTTATGTTGTGTGAAAATTCCTTTTTGAATTCTTGTTATTGAACTTGTGATATATTGAATATAAATGGGATTCGAAACGTGGATCTAAATAAAACGGCAAATTGAGTTAAACTAGCATGTCTCAATGTTAAGAAGTGAAATTTATATTTATCCGGACGTAATACTTTTTTTTTTTCTTGATAATGTAACATGCCAAATGTGTGGTAGAGATTTGAGTCGAAAAATTACTAATATTTTAACCATTTAGTTATGTTCAAGTTAATCGATAATACTAGTTTTATGAGAATTTAGGTTTTATTTTATATACCAACTTTTTAAAATCTTAGACTAGAAATCAAACTTAATCCGTGCAAATTCATGCCTATAACTAATCTAAAAATACATCATACAAATTCATATTCTTCAATTTAATTGGTTAAAATTTCGGCCTCTTCTAGTGAAAAAAATTCAAATTTATGAAGTTTGAGTTAATTAAAAAACAATGAGACAAAAACATCCTTAAAGAAAAGATTGAAGAGAGAGGAAAATGGTATGAAAGTTAGAATTTGATTGGATGGAGGTAAAAAGTTAGTGGGTAGACTTAGCTGTCATTAGAAAGAAGGCAATACCTACAATACAATTACCAATTCCTTTTGAAGTTTGAATTACATGGTTAGACATGTAATTAAGTGAAAGTAAAACCAAGACAAGTAGTATTTAGAGTTTAGTTTGAATTAACGTGGGTATGAGGATTTGAATCTCCGATATTTTCGTTGAAGATATACACGTTTGACTTTTGAGCTTGTTATGTCTAATTCAATAAACTTTCAATTTGATCGATTTGGTCCTTATATTTTAGAAACTTTCTATATACTCCTAATTAAATTTCTCATTTTCTGTCTAATTAGTTAACATTTTATCACTTTAATATTTATATGATACTTATATTGTTTAAGAACTATGTCATCGATTAATTTCAGGCACAAATTAATAAGCCAACGACAATGATCCATTAAACATAAATATAAAATTTCAAAAACATATCACAAACTTTTAAAATATAGTGACTAAATATATTAGTGAGAAAATTCGAAGACGTATTAAATCCTTCTAAAATACATACACTATATATACAAACTAATACTATTAGAAAAATTAAATCATAGTATAACGTTGTTATTATTATTATTATATCTTTTGCTATTATTATTATAAAGGAATATAAACATAAACTTTATTATTTTTTACCAAAGCGGTGAGTTAAAATTCCTACGCTTGGTATTATTTGATTATTCTCCAAATTTTATCGATAAAAAAAACAATAATATTTTTTAATTTAGTTCTCTAATACGATCAAGTATTTATAGATTGCCTAAACTTTAGGTAAGAATATTCTTTTTCATTGCGTGAAAGTCACAATCACATCGTGATCTCCTCCGATCTCCGCCCTAGGGCGTACAGCCGAGGCCCACCCATCGGCTTCAAGCCGCCCCCCTCGCCGGCCTCCGCCGTCACCTCCGCCGTCACATCCGCCTGCACTCTACTGATTTGTCTCCTCCTTATCCAGCCAAGCTCCATTCGTGTTGTCAGTCGCGCCAGGCAGAAATTTGTGAAGATGAACAGTCAGATCAAACGAGAAATCGATCAATTATTAGAACTGTCAGTATTGATTCAACTATTCAATCTGCAAACCCTAAATTGAAGCTTCCGCAACTTTATTTCCTCCGATTTACCGCTCGATCGATCGATCGATCGATCGCTTCGTCTCGTCTCCTGGTTCGATCGCAGCAATCTCTTTCACCGATTTATTTCGGAGGCGACGCTGCTACCTCTGTGTTTTATCTGAAATATTTTCCTCAAATTCGAATGAATGATCGATCGGTCATTTCAGACTTTCCTTACAGAGGTACATTCGTTTTTCCCCTTTGCGGTGGTCCTTTTCGGAGGCAGACAACGGATTCAAAAGTTTTTGCCTCCCGATTACGCGAAAAATGTTGTTGCAGAGCAGGGAAGACGACGATCGGATCGAGATTTGAAGCTTTCGGCTATTTTCCAGTTGCGGCTGGCGAGGAAATGCTTGGTACCGTGGTTCCACAGGTTATTTCTCAAAATAGCTTCTTGTTTATTTCTCCTTTTCTTTTTCTTTTTCTTTTGAGCGAAAAGTCACAATTGCCCTCCAGATTAATTATCTATAGATATAAGAGATGGTAGCAAAGTAAATTAAATGAAGGATGCTTTTTGAAATTTTTGTTTTCAAGTGAGACAGGTTTTAAATGCTTCGTATTATTTTATTTGTTTTTAGACTTTCTCATTAAACTAGTTTTAGTGACCAAATTTTTTTAAAAAGTACTTCTAATTTGTTAAAATAAATCTTTAAAATTTTCATTGAAACTACCCATTTTAATTTTTTTAAAAAAAATAACTGCTAATAATATTATTAAGTTTTAACAGAAATGTTTTTATATGTCAATCCAGAAAAAAAAAAGGTAAAACAACATTAAGAAAATAAAATAAAATAAAAAACTTGTAACTATTTCAACCATAGAGATATACCAAGTTGGTATTGGTTATGGAAGCAGTGTCTCGAGATCTTTGTGAGTGTAATATAAAAAATGCAATGATAAATAACAGACAAAAATCATACACACTTTAAATAAATAAAGTATATGTATAAGATAAAGTAAAAGTTCATGCATTAATTAAATCTAAATCCTTTTAAAAAAAATCTAAATGCTCTTTAAAAAATTAAATCCAAATGTTATTTTACTTTAAAATATATGTAAAAATACAAGTGTATTCTTACTAATATGCCTAAAGATTGATGAAAAAATCTTATAAGTATTCTGTGTAAATTATTGGAAAATTGTTCTTCTATTAAAAAAGCTTTATATAAATTCCATAACTCTTCGAATATGATAATGCTTAGTTTAAAATTAGAAGTTTAGGCATATGATTTTTTTACTTGGAAGGATAAAGTTTTACGAGTACTATTTTCCTTAATTTTTACGATTAAAATTTGGGATGCAAATCATACTTTAGGTTGTTATTATGCTATTGGTGCTAAATAATAAATACTTTCACAGTCTCATAGTCTTTTGGGCTTTTGTTGGAAGGAAACTCGAAGCATGGACCTTATTTCTCTGTTTTGGCCCAACGGATGATGGGCTAAGGCCCAATGGGGTAAATTTGGGTCGGTTCAGTCTTCACAATATTGGGCTGCCCGGCCCTCTAATATGGCAAATAATGAAGAAATTAGCCTAACCCGAGAGTGATTAGTTTTGTCCAAGAGGAATTTGTACGGATGAGCTTAATTTTTAAAACCATTTACTAAAAACCAAAATTTTAAAATAATTATAAATATATCATTCTAATATCCCAGACTCTCTATAATTTACAATAGTATGTTCTACTTTAGTCTGAGCTTATATAATTTTACTTTTGGTTTCACCCCATATGTCTCGTATTTTTCTTAGCTATAGATAATGAATCGTTCCACTTTTAGCTGATATGGAACGAGTTTTGCATAYGTAATGTTGCATTTCTATATCTACATACTTTCACATATTTTCCTTCTATTAGTTTATGCAAAACATGAAAAAAAAATGTTGCTTAAAAAAACTATAGATTCAGGCTAAATATAGAGAAAATTATATATATCAATAGTGATCTATCCTCACTTTATTTATGGTTTAAGTATAATCATAATCATCAAAGTTAGTAAGATAAATACTAAAATAAAACGGAACACTCAATTTGGTCCAAAAGTATACTTATATAGATATCGAGTTAAGCATGACTTGTTGAGCTCTTCACCTAAACATTTATTTTAAGTACATTCACATAAACCTCAACATAAACACTAAAACAGAATAAGTTTCGTATTTTTTACACATCTTTTTAATTTGTTATATTTTTTTTCAAGAGTGCACTTATCGAAACATCAAGGACTTTAAAGGTTTTCTAAAATTTTACGACCTACTTTCTTATTCATTAAAATTTGTACAAAATTGAAGTCAGCACTATTTAGTAAGGAGAAGCTATTTATTAAGACTTAATGAAAAGCATAAAAACTAAGGTTAAATTATTAAAATATATGAACAAATTTGATACAGTTTGATAAACACAAAATTACAAGTTTGTAATGAAAAATAATAAATAAATAAAAAAGATGGTGAAAGAAGCAAGAGAACAAGTACATATCATCATTCTGATTCAGATACTTGGCCACTAAGCAAATGTTAGAAAAAGGTGAAACAATTATGATAAAACGCACCATCTCTTTGTCGTTTTACTGCTTTAGTTTCGAAAATAAATAAATAACCCAAAAAAAACCAGCTAAAATGAAGCAATACATTAGCTGGTGGCAAATTGATTCCACTAAGTAAAGTGAAAAAAGAAAAAAAATGGGGCTTTAAAAGGATGAGAAATTAGGCATCTTTATAGCAAAGCTATGACAAAGCTTTTCACTTCTTTTTTATTTTGTATTTATTATTTATTTATTTTCTCCCATCCCTTGTCAAAAGGCAGTGGTAATGCAAAACTTTATTTCCCTTAAAAAAAGAAAAACAATAATAAAATTTGTAATGTGGGATTCTTTTCTTTTCCTTTTAAGCATACTTTTTAACACAAAAGTCTTTTAATTGTTTGGTCACTTCAACTTTATTGGCATTTCGGCCTATAGAGTTGAAACTACCAATTGGACCAAAAAGAAGATGAAGAAATTAAAGGGCTCAAAAAAACACGACAAACTAGTGGGGGAAAATGCATCTAATTTTAGTTGTGGGGTTAAAAATTAATCTCAAAATGAAACTAAAAGTAAACAAATAAAAAAAAATCATGGTAGTAGTGATATTTTATTGTCAAATAGTTTATGACAAAAATAGCGGGCATGAGTATGACTCGATTGATTAATGCATTAGTAACTTCTTTTGAGTTTTATTTATTTATTTATTATCAAATTAGGTATGGTAGGAGGTTTACAAGCTTGAGCAATGTGTTAGTATTCTCACTAATTTAATCCCGAACCGTATTAAACCATTTTTTTTATTGTTCATTTGACTTGTATTTTAACGAAAGGTTGTTAGTGCCTTAATTATCGGGTTGCATTCAAATCAACGCTCAACTTGAGATGTTTTATTAATGTATCTAATTTTATTTTCTTGTTCTTCTTTTACATTATTTTTCACGTGTAATCAAATATTTTTATTGTTGTTCACAAAGCTCTAAAGTCATCCTAAACAAATTAAAATTAAAATTGAATATAACTAAATGAAGAAGAATAATAAAAGAAAAAACAAAATTTCATATCAACTAATGCAATAAAAAGAACCATTTTTTATATATATGTGGGATGAAGATTCGATAATTTAATTTTTCTGTTGAGATGATAATGCTTTTACTATATTAAAAGCTTAAAGTTATTCATTAGCCAAATGCCTAATTTTGAAATTCAAACAACTAAAAAGATAAAAGATACTTTCCCTAAAAAAAAAATTATATATAAAGATACTTTTTTTAAGAGATAAATATACTTTTGAATTATAATTTATAATTAATTGATTTTTCCTAATCAAATTACCCACCGTCAATTTTCTGTCAACGAACCGGTAAACCCGGTTCATCAAATTTCAACTTTTTTTTCCGTACCCAAACCCAAAGCCGGCAGCACGTGCGCAGCACTCTCTTTCATAATTGATTTGGTTATCTTCATTCTTCTGACGTCTTACAAGTTACAATAACTGAAACCAAAGCATCCATTTTCTTTTATATAATTTTCAATTTAATCTCCAAATTTATATGCATAAAAAATTTTCTACCAAATTATTATACAAAAAAAATTAATATATCATTAAAGTATTATGTTATTAACATAAAAGACACACAAATTTCAATTAAAAAGCATATTCATAGTTTCAAATATGTCAACAAAAATTCTAAAAAAAAGTGTTAAGATAAAATTTAACGAGATATCAATTTTCTATTAAAAGTTTAAATACATTGGGGGATAAAATTAAAAATTTTAGAAAATTAAGGATCAGAAAAACGAGTCTGTCTGATAATTAATAATCATCATTTTAAACCCCAATTATCTTTTTAATTATATTTTGATTAATATTTTTACGCTCCCAGCTGGAGCTAGATACAGTGTGACTCGGATACAATGTAGTGGTGGATCCCTTTATGTCAGTTAATCTCGTCCGTCCACGTGTACGATCTCCATACCTTTACGGTATTACAACAATGGTCCAGTCCAGCTTTTGTATCCCACTTTGCGTTGGGTCCCACACATCCCTGTCCCATCAGAAAATGAAAATGAAAATAAATTAAATTAAAAAAGTGAAATAAATAAATAATTTTATAATTAATAACAGAATCAGCGGTGCTTGCAGGAGAGAGAGCGCTCACTCGACTCAGTCCAATCTCTCTCTCTCTCTCTTCCAGTTATTCCATTTCGCGATTGATTATTGAATACAAGAATTGATAATATTCATACTTCCTTTTTTGTTGCTTACTTTACTCTCTCTGCAGCAATTTCTCGCCATTCTGCTTTCTCATGCTCTCAAATGGTTTTAATGGCTTCCTTCAATCTCAGTGACTGAACTCTGAGTTTGCCTTTCCAATTATTGTTACTTCACGCTCGGAAAAATGGAGACTAAGCTTCTGCTTCTGATTCTTCTCTTTATTTTGGATGTCTCCTTTGCTCAGATGCCAGGTATCTTCTTCCCCTCTGTTATTCGAGTTTCTACAGTGATTATCCATTTTAGACTGTAGCTTTTATACGTCGAGGTTCATCGAGTTATGCTGCTGTTGGTTTCTGTGTTTTTACTAGTTTTATGTGGTTTTATCTCCGACTATTCAGTATACAGTCTGCTCAATAACTGTTGCAGTGTTTGTCAAATGCTGGCTTGTTGTCTTTGGAGAATGAATATATTAATGTTTTAGGTTCTATTTCTATTGTCACCATTGCACGAACTTTGGTTTTAGATGATGATTGTGACTGGCGTTTTCCGTCCTCGAACTTTGACTGAAAGTTTCCAAAAGAATGCAGCCAATTACAGAAAGAGTGTGATGTTATTTGCGCACAATATTTTTTTCCGTATGCGGATGGTGTTGGAGATATCCTGATATTTATATCTTGGACTCGGTGTATGACTAACTGGATAATTCGTACTGCATGGTTTATTGATATTTAATGGTGAAGTGATTTTTAATTGTTTCTGCTTCTCTTTGAACATTTCTGTGAGAATTTTATTTTATTTTATTTTTTGACGAATCTTGCCAGATAGCATTTCTTAGCATATTAATTAACAACAAGAAATATGAAGATCGTTAAGTCAAATGTTTCTTACCATGAAGCTAAATTATGCTGTATATTGTGGACTAGGTTTTGTAAGTTTGGACTGTGGGGGTCAAGAAAGTTTCACTGATGATATTGGTCTGGAGTGGGTTCCAGATACTCAAGTTCGTTTTGGAGAGGCAATTAACATTTCTGTTGCAAATGAGACGCGTAAGCAGTACATGACCGTAAGACACTTTCCTGCTGATTCCAGGAAGTACTGTTACACACTTAATGTTAGTAGTAGGACCCGTTACCTTCTCAGAGCAACATTTTTATACGGTAACTTTGACAATAACAACGTGTATCCGAAATTTGACATTTCCCTTGGGGCAACTCACTGGTCAACAATTGTCATATCTGATGCAAAAACTATAGAGGTTCGAGAGCTCATATTTCTGGCTTCAAGTCCTACTGTGAGCGTTTGTTTGTCAAATGCTACAACTGGGCAGCCATTCATATCCACACTCGAGCTTCGACAGTTCAATGGCTCAACCTACTATACAGATTATGAGGACCAGTTTTACCTCAGTATCTCTGCGAGGATAAATTTTGGAGCTGACTCTGAGGCTCCAGTAAGGTACATCAGCATTAAGAGTTTCATTGCCTTTTCATATACTTATATATATAACCACAGGAATAGTTCTATAAGCAGCCAGCAGCAAATCAATAAAGCAATTTGGGTAATTGTATGTTTTATCTATCTTTATAGGCCACCGGATATCTACTGGTTATGTTGCTTTTGATATTTAGATAAAGATTTTCTTATGCATAATATGATGCCATCATGGCAGGTATCCTGATGATCCATTTGATCGGATATGGGAGTCGGATTCTGTGAGAAAAGCAAATTACCTTGTTGATGTTGCTGCTGGTACTGAAAAAGTTTCCACTAAAATGCCAATAGATGTGGACAGAGATGAAAGGCCACCTGAAAAAGTTATGCAGACAGCTGTAGTTGGCAGAAATGGTTCGTTAACTTACCGGTTAAATTTGGATGGTTTTCCTGGCTTTGGCTGGGCAGTCACCTACTTTGCGGAAATTGAAGACTTGGGTCCAACTGATACGAGAAAATTCAGGCTAGTACTTCCCGGAATGCCTGAAATCAGCAAAGCTGTAGTCAACATTGAAGAAAACGCTCAAGGAAAATATCGGCTTTATGAGCCTGGTTTTACCAACTTAACCTTCCCTTTCGTATTATCTTTTCGGTTTGGGAAAACGTCAGATTCTTCCTTGGGACCTCTATTAAATGCAATGGAAATTAACAAGTATCTTGAAAAAAGTGATGGTTCTCTAGATGGTAATCCTAAATTCAAATTGATTTTAAGTTTTAAGTTTTAAATTATTGAATGTTATATAATTATGTTATGTCCTATAATATATTCATCGTTGTTGATCTATTGTGTTTGATATTGGAACATGTGAATTGCAGGAACGGTTGTTGCTACTGTAATTTCAAAATTCTCATCTTCAGATTGGGATGAAGGTGGTGATCCATGCATGCCAGTTCCTTGGTCATGGTTGCAATGTAACTCTGATCCACGGCCAAGAATTGTTAAAATGTAAAGGTTAATGCTATTTCAGCTATTTTTCAAGTCCATATTTGTTTACCTATATTTGGTCATTCTAATTACTCTATCTGCCTTTGGCGCTTGTTAGTTCGTTGTCCAAGAAGAATTTGACGGGTAACATCCCTACTGACCTTGCAAAGTTGAGCGGTTTGGTTGAATTGTAAGTTCCATCTCACACGAAAATTTTCCATGGTTGTCAAATTGTCTTTTTTCCCATTTTTATTCCACAAAGGATGGTGTCTCTTTTGGTTTCATCATTTTTTTTGTGGCTTGGATGCAGATGGCTTGATGGGAATATATTCGTTGGTCCTATACCTGACTTTACTGGATGTGTGGACTTGAAAATCCTGTAATCTCGAATGACTTCATTTCTATCTTGTATTTTATTGAAGGTTTTTAGCTGATCGAGATCTTTGCTTTTTTAGCCATCTTGAGAACAACCAGCTGACCGGAGAGCTGCCTTCCTCTTTAATTAATCTACCAAATTTACGAGAGCTGTAAGTATCATGGATAATGGTATATTATATTCTGTAATCCAGAGTCAATATTGATACATATGTCAATGATCTTTTGCTATATATTTGAATTGTCTTCTCTGTAGTATTTGACAGTGTTACATTTATAGTTTCAAAGTGAGGTATATAATATAATTCATGCTCTAATGGTTGTAGGTATGTGCAGAATAACATGTTATCTGGAACAGTGCCTTCGAGTCTTCTCAATAAAAACCTAGTTTTGGAGTGAGCTTCAATCTCAATATTTGGTCTACAAATTTATTTCTTCGTGTTAAATATTTGAAATCAATTGCTTGCTTGGAAACAGATTCTACCCACTTGTGAAAGGTTTTCTTTCTGATCATCCTAAATTATCCAGCTTCGACTTTTAAATCTTTTTGGAGGTGAATTCTTGTGGGTTATGTTAGAAGGTTTCTGATGGAAATACTAGAGGAACTAAGATGGGTTGCCATATTCATATGTGAAGTTTCATTGTTTCAGATAGTAGATCATTTCTAATCTGCTACATCTGATCGTAGTTGTTTATACAATGCTTAGATCTGTGGGTCAATGCTAGGTGGAATAATCATAAAGGTGATGTTTTAAAAAGAAAAAAAAGTTCAGGCCTACCTTAAAAGCCCTTGGATGACTGCTGCAAGCAAGCGTTTGTCCGAAATGGATTATCAGTCTCCTAATATTGTTGTTTTATCAAAATATTTGTTCTGCTTTGTGTAACTCTACGCATTTTAGTTTTTGTGCAGTTTTATTACTTATATTCTTGCGTTAACCATGTACTCTCGTTCATCTACAGCTACTCCAGGAACATTAATCTTCATGAAAGGGGAAAAAAGAACCACATTTCTATTATTGTGGGTTCAGTAATTGGTGCTGTTGTCCTGCTGTTGGCTACTGTAGTATCATGTTACTTTTTGCGCAGAGGAAGGGAAAAATATCGTGAACAAGGTACATAGAGATACTTGTTCGGTTGTTCCTTTCAAGAACATAAGTTGATTTGACACGGTTAATTGTTTTCTTTTTAATTTAGAAGATCTACTTGGAGAATCCTTGCCTGTACAAAGATTTGCATCTTCAAAGGGCGATGCTCCCAAGGAAACGGCACATTGTTTCAGTTCTGATGAAATTGAAGATGCTACAAGAAAGTTTGAAAGAAAAATTGGTTCCGGAGGTTTTGGTGTTGTCTACTACGGGAAATTAAATGATGGAAAAGAAATCGCGGTCAAAGTTTTGACTAGTAATTCCTTCCAGGGAAAACGAGAATTTGCAAATGAGGTAATACTTGTATGACTGATCCTCTATTCAATTCAGCAATATTCTTCTTCTTCTTCTTCTTCTTCTTCTTCTTTTTTTTTCTCTTTTTTTTTTTGGGCAAATGATCCCTCTCTTGTTTGCAGTTTGTTCATGCTTGAATTGTCCTTTCTGCGATCTCAGCCTATATGTTTTTTTTTTTTTTTTTTTGCAAAGGATCCCTCTCTTGTTTGCAGTTTGTTCATGCTTGAATTGTCCTTTTTGCGATCTCAGCCTATATGGGTTGTGTTGGCCAGTGCCGCAATTCTTAAATCATTTTGTTCTTTTTCTTTCATGTTGATTGTCAATAATGTGATAGAAATGTATACAAGGAGAGGAGCACGTGGGGCTTGCTAATCATGACTGATGAGTTATTAAGTGTGGGGAGAAGGATAAGCTAATTACGTTTAAAACCTGGGAGAGTATTTAGCAGGGTCCAAGTGCTGCTATAAAGAATGAGAGAGGGAGCCAAGGGAAGGTGGGTTGTTGTTGGGGAAAGCTAGAAGACTTTCAAGCGTGGGAGAATACCAAACCTCTTGAAATTTTTCTCACTTTCGTGTCATCTCCTAATGAATCAAAATATATAAAGTTGATTATTTTCTATCTGAAATTCTAATCAATTTAGAGCTCTATCTTGGGCTATTGGAAGATGGAGAAATGGACTGGTAACTGCATAATTGCAGAAGTTATCGAACTTGGAGAAAACCATTGCTGCATTAATAGAAGAAATGAGCCAGCTGCTGCAAAAGCAAGAAGACTCAGAGAACTCAAACAATACCTCTACACAGAGCAAATCCTAGGAAGGGTGAACAACAGTCGATCAGGTCTAGAGAAGAAATTTTGGTCAACAAATGAGTGGACTCATGAAAGAGGCAAGTATGGGGACTTGATTTTGAGAGAGGTGTAAGCTGCTATCTGACAGAATTGATTCAGACCAATTGGTTTCTCAGGTGGAGATTTCCTAATGGTTTATCACATGATCAAATAGGAGAAGATGGAATCGAAGATCCTAATCTTGACTGCAGCGCTTTGGCTTGGAATCAGTGGACTAAATTAATAGTCAATGGCCAATTCAAACGTGGTCAATATGCAAATTGGTGCTCACCACATGATCCCATACTTCACAAAAAGGGATGTTGTATGAAATGGTCTTAGCTCTTAAACAAGAAGGGTGTTAAAGAATCCTGGTATCTTAGATCTCTAATAGGGTATTCAAGGACCACCTTCGAACCAGCTCTTGTGTTTTGGAAGGAGAGGGTGGATGTAGAGCAAGTGTGGGCCATATTCTTCTCAACTCTGCTACGTTGAGACATGTTAACTGGCAGGAAAGAAGGATGAAATGAATAGGATTTGATCCAACGCCAATCTTAGAGGGGAGGGGACACACTACTCTGCATTTGACGGGTGCTTAACTCAAATGCAGACCATGAAAAGTATGTTCTAGGTGTGAGAAAAACTTCTTGGTAGGAGTAGGTCACGGCTTCAAAAATAAGAAACTATAAATGTTGTCAGTACACGTAGAAACAAAGGAAGGGGATTCAAAATATGACACAAGCAACATAGGGATGGGGAAGAAAATTCCCTGTAGGGTCTGGTTTTGTTGCCCCATCCCATTGTTCAAATAACGGGGTTGGGGTGAAGAAAATCTTTCTCCTGATTTTTTTATGGATATGGACAAAAATTCACCTTGATCCTTCCACCAACATTCAATATTTTTTTGGGAGACTATGGAAACTCATATATGCTGCTTCGCCTCTTTCAAGCCAAGGACATGCGCCAAATAGGTTTTTTTGGACAGAACCTGGTACAAGACGTCCTTTGGTGTGTCTACCAAGGCCATCCCTTTGCAGTGGCTGTGTGACCAACCACCCCCTATAGTATGATATGTGAAGTTCTCATTGAATTATACCATTGCTCAGCTTTTGCAAAATCAAGATGCAATCTTTGATCACTAGAACTTCCGGATAGCTTGAGCACAGTAGGCTATGAAGGCATCCTATGATAAGCACTAGGGGATATGCACCTCACTACCTCCTTTAACTGGTATTGACCTGGTCTTATATGCTTCACAACTTGGACAAGCAAGAAGGTTTGCTTTTCAGCCTAGTCTCTTACATCTGCAGCAGTGTCGTGAGTTGGAACTAAACCTCTGTAGAGGCTATGTTAGGGGTTCATCTTGCACCTGATGCTAATTCTTGAGATTTGGAGGTCCCTGTATGGTGTGAAAGGTTAGGCGCATCATGGGCGAACTTTGAATTGCTAAACTAACACTTCTCTATTTTCCATCTTGGACAGGCGGAAGTTTTGGCTGTGGTATAGATAGAAGCATATGCATGAAGCCACACGTTCAATTTACATACACAAGGAGAGGAGCACATGGGGCTGGCTAAGTCGTTAAGTGTAGGGAGAATATTTATTTGGTCCTCGGTCTCTATAAGGGACAAGCGGTGGAGCCAAGTGAGGGTAGGTTTTGTTATTATGAAGAGCTAGAAGACTTTATAGCATTGAGGAGCAGCAGACACCCTTAGATTGTTTGGCCATTTTGTACCTTCCCCACAGTAAATCAAATATAATCAGTTTCTTTTTCTTTCCAGTCTTTAGTTCTATCATAATGTAAGGCACTGACGTGTGACTTAAAATAATTTTTTTTAGACAGATTTAAGTGTTTTAAAATAAGAAGAGAGTTTTTCCGCCATGATTCTTCCTCTGACAACTGTAGAATATATTTCTCTTTGAATCTCATTTCTAATTTGTTACTCTTCCCGTGGACAAAATGCTTGCTGAAAAGGAGACTCTGAATGCTTTGTCTTCAATTAATTAGTGCTAGAACAAACAAAAATAGAATGCCTACTCCCTTTTCTTATCTTCTTGGATTGAGTGTATTGGTGTTAGTTAAAACCTAATGATATTAGAAACTGATATTTGTGGCTGATGGATGACCAATTGGTTATGAAGGTGACTCTTCTCTCAAGGATTCACCACAGAAATCTTGTCCAGTTTCTTGGATATTGTCAAGAAGAAGGCAGAAGTATGCTTGTCTATGAGTTCATGCATAATGGAACTCTCAAGGAACATCTTTATGGTAAGCCCACCTGTTATTTTTTTTTGCAGAGAATAACACAAGTTCGAAAGTCGCCTAACTTCTTGATCACGTACAGGCCCATTAACACGTGAAAAAAGTATCAATTGGATAAAGCGCCTTGAGATTGCAGAAGATTCTGCTAGAGGTCTGGATAAAAGCTACTTGCATTTCTTCCCTGAGCATGGAAGAACCTGCCTTCAATATTTTTCTCAACACTTTATTCTTCATGTGTTTTCAGGGATTGAATACCTTCACACGGGGTGTATACCAGCCATTATTCATAGGGACTTAAAAAGCAGCAACATTCTTCTTGACAAGCACATGAGAGCAAAGGTTTCAGATTTTGGTCTTTCAAAGCTTGCGGTGGACGGTGCCTCCCACGTGTCAAGCATAGTTCGGGGAACTGTAGGATATTTGGATCCAGAGTAAGCCTTTTCTCTTTCTTGTTAATTTATATATTTTTTCGGAAGTAAAGTTACATAGCTATACTAGCTATATATATGCTGTTACCATTGCAAATTTATGGATTCTTCTACCCAGATGTGTATTTCCGATAATTATTATTATATTTTTTTTTTGGGTGCATTGTCACGCTTTCACCCGAATAAATATTGTTTCTAGATTGATTGCCAAAATCCCTGTAACGTGCTTTCCTTGTTGCATTATTTGGTCATCAGGTATTACATCTCTCAGCAGTTGACAGACAAGAGTGACGTTTATAGCTTTGGTGTTATTCTTCTCGAGTTGATATCTGGTCAAGAAGCTATATCTAACGTAAACTTCGGTGCTAATTGCCGCAACATTGTCCAGTGGGTGAGTTTGATTCCTTTAACGGAAGTACAAACTATCATACATATGATACTCAGCCAATACGTCAGGATTAATTCTCTACTTTCTGTTAACGAGAAGGAATCATATTGTGCACAACCCAAATGTAGCTTTTCTATTGAATGGGTTAACATCTGCGTAGAAAATCCCTTTCGTGCGTGGTTATATCTGAGATAATTATACCATATCTATGCAATATATTCATGAAATAGATTGTAAGTGGCGTATGTTGATTGTAATGCAGGCGAAATTACACATCGAGAGCGGGGACATTCAAGGGATCATTGATCCATCGTTACGCAATGAATATGACATTCAATCAATGTGGAAAATCGCAGAGAAAGCATTGATGTGTGTCCAGCCACATGGGCACTTGAGGCCATCAATATCAGAAGTGCTCAAGGAGATACAGGATTCAATTTTGATTGAAAGGGAAGCTGCTGCAACTAGAGAAGGTAACTCTGATGAAATGTCTAGAAATTCAGTCCATTCTATGAATATGGGATCTCTTGATTTGTGTGGAAACGAAAACTACGTGTCGTTTGACGAATCCACTGCTCGACCTACTCCAAGGTAGTTTAGTTGTTGTACAAACGCATCATTTTTTAGGAACAAATGTGCATTCTTTTTGCTTGCAGTTGGTTTGCCAATGTCCCCCATATTTTGCCACTCTTATTATAGTTCTGTCTAAGATAGATGAAATGGTTAGCTAGTTGTAAATTTTTGAACAATTTTTTTTTTTTTTTTGGATTGACTTCTCCATCTGTTCATTCTACAAAGTAGCCACATTCACATTTTTCTTTTCATGAGAACACAACATTGCAATTAGAAGATGCAATGAAGATTTATTACTGATACCTCAACTGTTTAGTGTTGAACCTATTACATATATTTGATTTAGTTTATTATTATTATTATTATTATATATATATTTTTTATTTATGGATGGGAGGAAAGAAAAAGCATCTCTTTGGCAACAAAATTAGGAACAATTAATGGAGGGACAAGACACATGGTTTGTCTTGGAGCTTGGGTGTATATTTCATACTTGATATTTAGTGAAAGTTTGATGCTTCTTAATATTGAAGGGTCCCACCAAAACTTTTCACAGTAGACAAGATGTGACCACCACACCTTTTTTTTTTTTTTTACCACACCTATATAATGGATGCCTTATGCTTTTACTCCTTCCAGATATTTTAGGGTGTGTTTGGATTAATTTTTTAAGTGATTTTAGAGGGTAAAAGAAAAATAGATATATATATTTTTAATAAAGTATTTGATAATAAATAAAATTGCTTTTACAATAATTAAATTGGATTATACTCACTTTTTGGAGAACCACTTTAAATTTGATTATTTCAAAAGTAGTAGTGGTTGATGTAAAATCACTTCAAAGGTTGATATTATTGAATCACTTTTAAATGTAGTACAATTAAATAAATTTGTGATTGAAATTACTTTTAATAAAATGTATTTGTTACATTAGTATTTTAAATTAAATTGTTTCATAAAAAGTGTTTTAAAAAACAATATATTTTTTAAGAAGCTATTAAATTAGAAAGTATGTTAAACTCACGTCTCAGTAAGGAATTATAATCATGTTTCACGAGTTCATATGCACAATATATTCATGGTTTGATTAATTGGACTTCACATGATCTTTTAAAATAAATTGGACGCTTTTAACAATGTGCTATCATACTTTATTATGGTTTAAATCATATTTTGATTTCTACTATATAATTTTGCGCATATATATATATATATATATTCCGGTACAATACTCATTTTCAATCTCGTGGTTAAAATGCATGCTCACATGATCATGTTAGCATATATATTAGAGCTTGTTATTTATTTGTTAAATATAGTAAAAAAATTAGGATTGAAATAGACATTTTGAAAGTTTGAAAGCTAAAATGAAACAACTCTAAAATTTGTATGGACCAAAATAGACATCTTAAAAATTCATAAAATAATTCCCAAATATTACAGACTAAAATATGATATAACTTTTTTTTTAGTTATGTAATTTTATCTTAATTTACCCCCTACTTTAAGGTATGTTGTGCGAGAACCAAATCTTCAATCTTAGAAGAGTGATGAACTTTTTTTTTAGTACAACGTGTGGGGGTGGGGAATCGAAGTCACAACCTTTTAGTTTGAGATATATGCCAATTAGTGCTGAGCTATGCTTGCTTTGACGTTGATATTTGTAATTTGAATTATGAGTGTGTATATATATATCGTTGATTTTTATTTAAATGTTTAACTAATAGGATAGTTTTAAAATTTCCAAAGATTTCACATCTTGCTCAATTGTTGAATCTAATCCATGTATGCAATTGAATAAAGAATGAGGGAGAACGATGATAAAACTCGTATCCTTATCTTTATCACTAATGTTATTATTATTATTTTTTAGTACAACAGATATGTAATATATAGATTTATACCTTCAACCTTGAAGAAAAAAATACATGTCATTTACTATTGATTCATATTGGCGGGCAAAATCATCTTTGATATGAAAATAGTGTAGTTTCTATTATTTAACATTAAATTCAAATTAGTTTAATTATTCTTTTGACAAAATTAGTTTCATTATCCAACACTAAATATAGCTTCTTTAAAGTAAAAATTATAAAATAAATAATATGACTAGATATTTATCTAAACTTTGAAAAACACCTACATTTAATTGGACAATCAAACAATTGGAAATACTAAAGGGACCCAACATTTAGGTTTTCGTGAAAAATAGTTGGAACACGCATAACTAAGAATGTAAATGTTCTTGACTAAAATAAATGGATCCAAACAAAATATATATATATATATCTACACCTACCCAATCTGAATCAATCCAAGAATTAAAAATAATAATAATAAAAAGGAGTAATATTTATTTCTATCCTCAATTAATTTAAGAATCATAGGAAGAGTCCATCTTAACTTTAAAAACATCAGCTTCACTTAAGTAAATCATAAATTTGAATAAGTGTAAAATTAATACACCCTCAAACTTATATGTAGCAATACTTACAAACCAACTTACAGATTATTCAAAATTAAACCAACAAATAATTAAAGTTCAACTTGAAAATATTTAATATGATCGGAAGAATTAGTAGCCACCAGAATAATATTTTCCAACCACACAAAAATTTGTAACTTCATAAATTAAAGTTATTAATTTATCCCCTCATTTAAGTTCCAAGATTTAATGAGATGAAATAGAGGATTGAGCAAAGGAGTAAAACTAAAAAATACTAACAAATTAAAAGGATAATAAAATAATTATCTCAAAATTATCCAAATTTAAATGAAGAATAAAGACGTGTCGCTTTTGTGTAACTCGGCCACTTGTTTACCAATGAGTCAGTGAGGAGAGAGAACAAATTCAGTCGGCAGAGGAGAAACGACGTCGTCTGATAAAATTGATCGACCGCTGAAACGAGTGGCGGAGAAACAACCGCGAGAAACAGCAACACGTGTTCCAATCAGATTCGAGGAACTCAATCGAGAGCAGAAACCGGCAAGCCGCAGAAAACCCTGAAATATGGAAACTGAATTATTTAATTTATTTTTATTTATTTAAAATTAAAGATAAAAAAAAGAGGAGAATAAAAAGCTTTGTTTTCCGCCTTGGGAATTCCCTGAAAAAGGAAAAACAAAAACCAACGGTGGTGATAAACTCGATTCTCTCATCTCAGTCGTCTCCTTTCTCTTATCTTCTCCAGCGTCCGATCCCTCCCACCACCTCCATTTCCACCCGATCTAAATCCTTCTCGCGCGCCCAAATTCTCCCACCAGGTAAAAACTTCCCTTTCTTTTCAATTTTTCAAATCTCTCGATTTTCTCTCTTCATAGCGGCAACACCCTTTTCAGTTTTCCATGTCTTTTCCCCTTTTCCGCCTCCAATTTCATCCTCCGCCTTCCATTTTTGCTTCTGGGTTGGGTTTTGATCGGTGGTCTGTGGGACTGACGATGTTTTTTCGTGAAGTAGGGTTTTGGCGAGGATGGCTGATGGTCCGGCGAGTCCCGGCGGTGGAAGCCATGAGAGCGGCGAGCAGAGTCCGCGGTCTAATGTTCGTGAACAGGATAGGTTTCTTCCGATTGCGAATATTAGCCGGATCATGAAGAAGGCTCTCCCTGCTAATGGGAAGATTGCCAAGGATGCTAAGGAGACCGTACAAGAATGCGTCTCTGAGTTCATCAGTTTTATTACCAGCGAGTACGAGCCTTATCCCTATAATCATTCCTTCGTGTCTGGTTGCGGTTATTTTGATTAGTTATTAGCCTTCTTCGTGTTCTGAATTTTGGGGGATTTTGATTTGACTGTTCGATTATATCTAGGGCTAGTGACAAATGCCAAAGAGAGAAACGGAAGACGATTAATGGAGATGATTTGCTTTGGGCCATGGCTACTCTTGGATTTGAGGATTATATCGATCCGCTTAAAACCTACTTGACGAAATACAGAGAGGTAGTCAATCGATTCGGCTTATGTTTTTGCTTATGTTCTTTCTATTACTCTAACGAAGACTTGAAAATAGTGTTTCCAGTTACATGATATCCACTTTTCACGATTCTTTTGATGCTTCCAACAGGGAGCTTTCGTCTAGTCTCAACTTTTTCTTGTTATTTTTTTTTTTACTACTGTTCGTTGTGTTCTTCAACTGATGGATGGATGCTTTCTTTTCTTTTTTGGTTTATTTTTGTTTTGCCTGCTGGTTGGTACTTGGGACGTTTTTAGACGGAGGTAAGTTAGAGATTTCCTTCAAGTCTCTGTAATTTGTCAACATCACCTATGAAATTAGGAGGTTTGTATATAATGTTTATGTTGTTTGACAGGGTGACACTAAGGGGTCTGCTAAAGGTGGCGATTCGTCAGCTAACAAAGAAGCTCATCATCCAAACCCTGGTGCTCAGGTCAATTTAGAGTTTGAATTTTCCCATTGAGCTGGATTTTTGGTGTTTTCTTCTAAGCTTCTTTCTTTCTGAATTCTATAGATTGCTCATCAAGGGTCGTCGTTTTCCCAAGGAGTTAATTATGCAAGTTCTCAAGTACTCTCTCTCCCTCTTTCTCTCTGCCCCTCTTTCTCACACACACAAATAAACATAAGCATGTACTTGCACAGTGTCCTTTGAAGAAGCAAAGAAACATTTATGCTAGTGTACTTAGGGAGACTTTGGCATGAATGTTGGAGAGTGAATTAAAAACGTTTTAAATATTTTACTACTTTTGGTTAAATTTTGAAAGAACTTAAAGAAATGTTTTTAGAGGAAGAATTTTTATGAGTGCTCCTTTGAAAACATTATTTTAAAAAGTTATCCCAGTCTCACTCTTAGTTAGTCACTTGATGCATATTCACATTTGTAGATTCCGATGCTGAGGACATTTAGTGGGATTCATTTGTTTGTATTTGTTTATCGTGTTAAAGTTGAGGACGTGTGTTAGAATTTAATATTCTAATGCTGCTGCTGATTTAGCTATTAGCAGTTGAAGTTGAAATCTTGTCTTTTAGAACTGCTTGTAAATCATTTCTACTTCTATTCCATAAAGTGGTAAAATTCCCTTGACAGTCTCCATCTGATTCTAAAGAAGAAATTTTTGGAACTTAATCTGTTTTCCAATTGTTAATTCTAGCCAGAGGACTCTAATTACATTTACTAGTTCATACTGTGACATCAAAATATTTAGTATATGGAGTTACAAGTAGGATTTGATTTATTGTCTGTTTTATTTGGATAATTTCTGTTATTTACACCACACCACACACTCTTCTATGTTGGATCAACTAGGACTGGATTTATTCGATTTTCTCTGAGATTCACATTTTACCCCTCATGGGGTCTAAGTTGTTTTATTTTTCTCCTTTTCTTCAAATAATTTCTTTGTTTAAGTAACTTAGTTTGGTTTCTAGTTCATACTTCAAATATTCATGATTCTTAAAGTTCTTTCCACAGGCAAGCATATGTTTCTGATTAGTTGGGGCTTAGTTTAGCACATATGCAAGTCTTGGTTGAAATAAATGGAGAATTAGTAAATAAATTTAAATGTCTCAGTGAGATGACTTATAGCTGTAATACTAATAGGCTATTGTCCTTCTAGCTTTGGTGAGGGCAATATTGGTATTTGCATCTTGAGTTACCTAGAAAACGAGCTTGTAACTCTTTTGAGATTCTTTCATTGGGACGCCCCTTTGAGTATAGATGCTCTGATAATGGATTTAAACGACGTAGTGACCTACCTAAAATTTAAATATCTAACAAGCTTTCTAATGCACAAAAATATTCCTAAAATATTAAATATCTAACAAGCTTTATAATGCAAGATAATATTGTAGTGTTAAATGGTTATTCTTTTAAGTTAGTCCAGGCATATGTAAACGAGCACGAATAATACAATTATAAGTATGAATATAACTTCATTGAAGTTTTGTTTTACCGTTCACGATGGTTGTGAGTCATGTACTAGAAGTGTTTTTTTTTTTAAGGTTTAATGCCATCTTTCATTTTTGCAGTCTTCCCAGCATCTGATGGTCCCTATGCAAGGCACTGACTAAAAATTTGTTCGATCATTTGAACTGTTGAATGTGAACTGTTCAGCGTAGCAGCAAAAAATTGAGTCTATTTATTTGAAGTTGGGTGGTTTTGATACCTCTATTTGTAGAAACAGTTGAAACTTTGTATACTACGAATGTTTATTGGATTGGAGTAGGACACAGTATTTGATAGGAGGTTCCAAGTCCTGGGGATCCCATTTATTTGTGACTTGTACCAAGGTTGTGAGGATCTTAAAAGAAAAAAACTAAGTAGCTAGCTGCAGCACACTTTACATCTTTTCTTTCTTATTCCTTTTTTTTTTGTCACTTTCCTAATCAAAACCAATAAATTGTGTCAGGAATGATTTGCTTCAAGAAGTTCTTAAAGCCCTCTCTGCTGTGGATGAAATTAATGGTATGCCTTCCGTAAACTCTTCTACTGTTGTGTTCATCTTTAGTTTCTCACATGTTTTTTATGGCTGCTTTTTCATTCCCTTTTGGGAACAAAAGGTTTAAAAAGTGGAGATGGAGAAAGTAGTTCCTTAACAAAAGTTTGCTTCTTTTTTACTTCTGTTTTGCGAACATAGACTATTGAGGGTTGTTTTATTTGACGTTGGATTCAACTTATTTAGATCAGAGTTTTGAAATGATTGGTTTGGGTTTGGTTGGTTTGTGATTCTGTTCAAACTATTTCAGGTTGATTGAATCGGTTCGGAGTTTTATTTTAGGATAGGAAGTGAATAGAGAGGTGTGCGATACTACATTTGGCTGCCAAATTAATTTATATGTCAGCTTTAAGGATTGGATTAAAGTAAAATTGAGTCTGAACTTTTTTTTAAGTGATGGTCTAAATGTAACTGCCACTAAATCTATTATGTCGTAGATAAATTAATTCAAATAAGTCATGTTTGATAACTATTTTGTTTTTTGTTTTTCACTTTAAAAAATTAAGCAGGTTTGGTAACATGTTCGATAGCCATGATTTGTTAAGTTAAATGTTTGTTTTTTCTACTTTCACCATTGTACTTTGGTTATCTATTTTCTTTAAATGTTTCAAATTTTTAAAATAGAATAGTAGTTTTTATCTTTGAAATTTGACTAATAAATCAAATATGTTTTAAATGTAATAATATAATTGTCAAGAAGCAAATATAATTTTTAAAAAATAAAGCCAAAATTTATTTTTAAGAATTAGACTTATTTATCAAGCACATTATTATTATTGTTAAAACATGATTTAGCCCTTCTAATCGAGACTAATGTTGCTGGGAACTCGAAAGTAATTTAAAAAAAAATGATTTCAGGATAATTGGGCTTTTAACATATAACATTTTAACTTTTAATTTTTAATTTTTAATATTGACACAAAAAAATAAAATTGGATCGTATGAGTCATGTATTACAGATCTGTAATCTTTCCATAAAGTTGCTAAAGATTGAAGTGACTTGGGTAATTCTTTTTACTAATTCGGAGCTTAATTTAAAAGCTATATTTCGATCTGGATGTGTTGAATTTTTATCAAATGGTCGGGTCGGGTCATATGTACATGATTTGAGTGATGATGGATGTCCTGTTCACAGCCTTACCTTAAAGTTACTAAAACAAGAATGACAAATTTGGCTTGTCATGTCATGCAATCCAACACATTTGCTTTATTTTACAAGGCTAAAAAATGATACCTTCTTTATAAGTCGTAAGTAGTTTGTTTGATTTGACCTTTTAATCATCAAGTTAGTGCAATTTAATATCTCACAAAAAAAAAGGAAGGCAAAACTAAATTAGGCTACACATGACCATTAACTAATAGAAATTATTTGTTTTATATATAAAACTATAAACACCACTCCAAGGTATATTTGTTATCCCTACGAATGTATAATCCATTTGGTGGTGTTATTAAGATAAAGTTCATATTTTACTTAGTACGAATATGGTTTAATAGATGGTGTATCTCCCACGTTTGTTGAATTCGGGAAAAAAAAAGAAAAATATTATATCGTGGAAAAAAAATATTCTGGAATATTAAAAAGGAACCGACATAAAATTAATCAAGAATAATGAAACAAATAGTGGAGGAATTTCTATAATAAATTGGTATCTAAACATATAATGAAAATCAAAATGAAGATATTTGTTAAATAAATATTTCACATATAATAATTCATTAATAAAGGTAATTTGCTTTGAATGATAATTTATTTATTAGGAAATAGTCCATTAAAAGCACATATTAAATGTAATTGGGGGAGTTTAATTGAGGTATTTTCAGGACAAAAAACAATATTTTAATACTGAAAATCTATTGGTGTAAATATTAATAGATATTTCTAAAAGAATCTCGGTAACTTTCCTTGTTCGTGGGAAGTGGAAGAAAAGGATACGGAATTGGCCTATTTTTAACATTTGAGTGGAAGAAAAATGAAGTAAATGAGCTTGACCCCTTCCTTAGTTTTAACTTTCCTAAGACGGCACGGCACATGGAGGAGAAGGAGAAAACCGGTGGTGGGCCAATCAAATTGGGCCAAACCAGGGCCCATTATAGATTGTCAAGAGGTGGGAACTGACACTTTTTTTTCTTCCTTTTTTGGGTGAAAAAATTGTTAGAAGGTAAAAGGTTAAATGTGAACCATATATTTCTTAGAACTAAAGTATACAAAATGCTTATGATTGGTTTCATTTTCACTTGCAACTTTCTATTTTGTAGATTGTAAATAATTTTAAACATATGTCTAGTTAATTAATGATCTACTTCAACATTTTCTCAACAAAAAAAGAAAAAAAAAATCTACCTCAATTCAACAATGTTGTTGAATGAGTTATTTCGTATTTTGGATGAACAATAGCTATTTGATCGAGTTCCAAATGATTAATCGATCATATTCAAATTTCACATGTTGAACTTATAAAAAAGTTGGCAAACGTTAAGATTCGCCTATTATGGGTAGTAGCAATAATTTGATCGAGAGTGTGTAGCTCAACCGTAAGTACTTCTATTTCGATGGTCATCCCAAATACCCTCATCAAAAGTTACAACAGTGGTTCCCTAGTCATCGAATTGGGGACTTTATCCCTTATCAGTTTGAATACCAAAAGTCTCGTATAGAAGCAGTAGGTATTCTCAAAGAGACCCTTATCGTTGTAACCAAAATCACAATCGATGCAATAATGGGCATTGCCTTGTTAGCCCCAATAACTATGCAAACACGAATTAAAGCTTGGATTAAACTCGAGCTAGCCAGTGGAATCATCGTGATATGCATAACGCTCGCTAGCACTGCAACATACTTTTATTATGAGCAACTATTAAAAAGGAGAAAATTGGTTTACCACTCCAATTCAAAGCCTCCATCCACATGGTCTTTATTCATAAGACTATCGATTGTTAATTGTTAGTTGTACTGGCTTGAGGAGCTAGGAGAGTGCAATGAGAATTACATGTAAAACAATGAGTGCTACTTTCCATATATATATATATATATATATATATATACACATGATTGAGGTTTTCATCATTACAAGTTATTTGCTCGTACATTTATTAGTGGTCGAATGAGGTGGCTATAGTTTAGTAGGTCATCACCTAATTCAATGATAATTATCATCTGTCTTTGACCTATAGGTTATGAGTTTGAATATCGTATACCCACTTATTGTAGTAAAAAAAGTCGTTRCTGCATAATAGCAACAAGCAAATTGGTCACCTTTCTTCATTAGACTACCTCAAAGCTTTGTGTCTGGTAAAAGCCTTCGAGCCACGTCGGGCTCACTTGGTGGGTTGCAACTCCATAATTCACTCCATTGTGCCATCTTAAACTCAGATTTTATTTTTAAGAAAAAAATCACATATAACAAATTGATGAGCATGTTGATCTATGAGCAAATTTTGAACTAAATCCTATCAACTAAAATTTCTTTAAGGATAATCCCATTTGATTAAGTATTATCTCATTTTACCCTATAATTTCCTTCTTAATAAACTTAAATTTCTGCCGAAATGATTTCTATCATACTTTGGGTTGCATTATTATTCTTTCACCACTATCTCTATCTAATGTCATTTATCTTGAAATTACTATAGATTATAGTTAAATCAAAATAAAGTTAACTTTGTGAAATTTTTAACATAGTATATATTGATATAACTTTATATTAGTSAAGTAAATATTTCAAAGTATTTTATTGAAAATTTAAAAGACCTTCCAAATTTGAAGGATCAAGGTAGATGTTATCCTATTATATTATTATCTAAAAAACGAAAGTACATTTTACTCATGTCCATCACTTTTTTTATTTAAAAAAAATTGTAAGACAAAATAAATTCTAATTTTGGAGAATCCATTCATTAGAATATTAAAAGAAATTGAAATACTTAATAATATTGTTTCCTCGTTTGAATATACGATTTTCCTTATTGAGCGTGGCCGAGTAGGAGATCCTTAATTTACTTGTAGTCCAAGCGACAATTACAGTTTAAGAAAGGAAAGTGTAGAACTCAAATAATAATAATAATAATAATAACGATCCTTAATGTAGAATTCAGATTCTGTTTATAATTTTTAAATTCAATATTTGTTTGATAGAATTATTTTCAAAAATTGTTTTTGGATCATAGGAAGTATAAATTATCAAAACAACTTTTTTTTTTTTTTTAACATTTTTAGTGTTTCCAAATTTTGAAATTGAAATTAATTTCATCACAATTATAAAAATGTTTACAGGTATAATATAGATTCAATTTTCAAATCTACTGTCAAAACGATCATAAAAGTAATTAACATATATCTCCGAAGAGGGTATGCGTTCGATCTCCACCACCACATGTTGTATTAAGAAAAGAATTTTCGAATCTGCTATCAAACACGTATTTGAAAACAGCAAGAACATCAATTATAACTCTAATTTTAATTGAATTTCATGTTTTCAAATCAAACACCCCAATAAAATCAAATAAAATAATATCTTATAGCTTAAAGAGCAACAATTTAAATCAAGAATAAAATGAAAATAATACAAATAAAAAGAAAGGTAAAACGAAAATATAAAAAATATATATATTGATCAAACATATTCACTCTCTCACAGTCATTCATATATATCTTTAAGCTCTGGCGTTCTCTCTCGGTCTGTTTTTTCATCATCATCAACGTCAAAGAGCTTCATAATTTCGATCACCGATTAAAGAGGAAACAAAAATCATCCGCCGTGGGAGTTGCTTTCCGGCGTAGACGGAGCAGTTTTTGCCCTCGAAAAATCTCGTGTGTATATACATACTTTTTTCCTTATCGTGCTTGGAAATTCGCGAGTCTTCGTCTTGCAACGCTAAGGTACTTGGAAATATGGGATAGTTTTTTCTGCTCTGATCGTAAATCCATGTTTACATTCGTGATTTTTTATCTCGTTTTTCATCGCATTCGCTTTGCTTTCGCCTTCTTTAGCTGTTGTAAGTCGACTGATTACGAGCTTACTGGAGAAACTTAGTTATGTATTTTGAGATTGTGAAGTATAGATGATATACAAATTTTAGTTGTCAATGGTGGTTAAATCCGTGAAGTCTTCGGGTTCTGTGTTAGTCTTGGAGCAGTAGTGGCCTGTTTATTTTTGTTCAAATTGATTGTATATAATTTATTTTCTGTTTAGCTCTCAATGTTTGAGACAGACAATTCTCGTCGAATGTTTCCGTACCTATTTGATTATTATATGAGTTCGAGGGTTTCATCTCCGGAAGTTTTTCGTATTGAAGTGGAATTGCTAGTGTTGAGCCAGAATACCTTTATTTATTTATTTATTTATTTGTCGTTTATTTAATTATTTTCTTGCTGTGTAGTTTTGGTTCTGATGATTAGCTGTATGAAAATTATTGAAGCATAAAAAGTTCGTCAATCTTATGCAAAGTTGGATCTCTTAATTGTATAGGAGGGTTTTGTGTTAAATCTCCATCAAAGCTGATAAATGATAAATGGGAAATCGTGGCCAAAAGCGTACTGAAATGGTGGATGGTTTACCGGCTGATAAACGGGCATGCAGTTCATTGGAATTCAGACCAAGTTCATCTAGTTCGTCTATGAAAATGCATGTGACATCCACAAATTCAAGTCCTGGCATCCATGACAATGATATGGACACTTCATCATCTGCTTCTGCTTCTAGCCGCTCAGAGGGAGAACATGAAAAGGATTCGGCCTATGGGTCTTGTGATTCTGATGATGCAGAGCAAAAACATAGTGATCTTCGGAATTATCACAGGCAAAGATCATCTAGCGATCATGGACGATTTAAAAGGATTTTGTCAAGCTTGGGTGAAGAATCTGAGCCATCTGCACAATTAGCATTGCTAACGGAGCTATGTGAGGTTTTATCATTCTGTACGGAGAATTCACTTTCGAGCATGACATCAGATTCGTTATCTATAATCCTTGTAAAGCTGGTGAAACTTGATAGTAACCCGGAGATAATGCTATTGGCTATAAGGGCGTTAACTTATTTATGTGACGTTTACCCTAGATCATCTAGTTTTCTAGTTCGCCATGATGGAGTTCCTGCCCTCTGTCAGAGGCTAGCAGCTATTGAGTACATGGACGTTGCTGAACAGGTGATATAATCATGCTCACTTGTGTTAATTTTAGTCAATTTATCAAATTAGTTTATTCTTGATATTATAGTTGATGGCTCATCTTTGGAGTGCGGATATCTTTGTTATATTTTGAAGACACCTCTGTTTCGATGCAGTGTTTGCAAGCATTGGAGAAAATATCACGGGAACAACCCGTTGCATGCTTAGAGGGTGGTGCGGTTATGGCTGTTTTAAATTATATTGAATTCTTTTCTACTAGCATACAAGTAAGTCGTTTACCTTTTTGGATGCTAATCTTAACGTGACAAATTGATTGAATTCATGTTCTTACTATCTTGTTCCCACCAAATTGTATGGTCAAAATATTGAAAAATTTTAATTTGTAAATGTGGTTCGAATCAGAGGATTGCTCTTCGCACTGTGGTGAATGTCTGCAAAAAACTTCCTTCTGAGTGTCCACCTACTTTGATCGATGCTGTTCCTATACTATGTAATCTCCTTCAGTATGAGGATCGGCAGGTTCGAATAACTAGAATTGAATGCTTTATATTGCCTTATTTTATTTTGTTTTTTTTAATAAATCTTCTCCTTATTATAATCACATTTCAGCTGGTGGAGAATGTGGCTCTATGCATGATTAAAATAGCTGAGTGTGTCAATCAATCCTGCGAGCTTCTGGATGAGCTCTGTCAGCATGGGCTGATTCAACAAGCCATTCACCTTATAAATTTGAATAGCCGAACTACTTTGTCCCAGACCATTTACAATGTTAGTAGGGAATCATACAAGTAACGGTTTAGTACAGTTTGTGTTTTATTTTAAGAAAATATGGATAAACATCTCCCTGTAGTCTCTATCAACATCTTGCAGGCATAATGGTGAATGACCATCAATTCTTTTTGCAGGATTTGCTTGGAGTACTTGTCAAATTATCTTCAGGATCAATTGTTGCTTTCAAAACCCTTTATGAGCTAAACATTAGCAACACTTTGAAGGACATATTATCTGCTTACAATCTCTCGCATGGAATTTCTTCTTCATGTGCAGTAGTTGATGGGCAGCGGAACCAGGTATCGTCTATCAGCATATACTATTTTTTATTCCACGGGAAGACTCTGACTGCATGGTGTAATAATCTTTTTGAAAAAAGAAAGTTCTAGGAAACTATTTTTGTTTCCTAGAAAAATATTGTGTAAAACACTTCAAATCATATAAGCCTTTGATATGAATCAATAACTTCAATTCTCTAATAACTTATCTTCCAAATCTCAAGTCATGGGTTCAAATTGAATTATTGAAGGCATGTGCAGTGCAATACAAAACTAAATTCAAGATGATCGGCTAAAGATTATTATATCATCTCCACCTTCAAACCTCCAGTTTGTCAGGCTTGTGCTTGGTAGCCTGAGCTAGGATAATTACTTAGTATTTTTGCATAAAGTGATAGTACAATAGCTTATAGTTGGCCTGAATCAGGTCTATAATTTCAAAGTCTTTCTGTAGTTGTTTCTTTACTCCAGGTTTGTTAGTCCGATTTTGTGATTTTTATTTTTATTTTTTTATGGGGGTTTATTGAGGTTGGTTTTTTCCCCAGGTGTGTGAAGTCCTGAAATTGCTTAACGAGCTTCTCCCTACGAGAGATGCAAATGCAGAACAACCGTCTGAAAAAGTATCTTATTTAGACAGTAATCCTAAGCAACTGCAGAAGTTTGGCTTGGATATACTTCCTTTGCTAGTTCAGGTGGTTATTATGATTAGCCAAAAAATAAATTTCCTGCCCTTCCCCATCCTCAATAACACCTCATTTGTCCTTCTGCAGGTGGTTAGTTCTGGTGCGAACTTGTATGTTTGTTGCAGCTGCCTAACTATTATCTACAAGTTTTCCTGTTTGAGTGAATCTGACATGCTTGTTGAGTTGCTTCAGAATGCCAACATTTCTAGGTAAATAATGCCTTATTTTCTTTTTGATGGTATTTTCTAATTGCCTTCAGAAAATGTCATGATCTTTTCTGTCAAATATGTCAGTTTCCTCGCTGGAGTGTTTACTCGAAAAGACCATCATGTGCTGATATTAGCTTTAAAGATCACTGAGATTATCCTGCAGAAGCTCTCTATTACATTTTTGAAATCATTCGTTAAGGAGGGTGTCTATTTTGCAATTGATGCACTAATAACTCCGGAAAAGTATAAACAGTTGATTTTCCCAGTGTATACTGGTGTCCAACCATCATTTGGTTCATGTCAGAAGTCTTCAAGAGATAATACGAGGTGCCTATGCTATGCATTTTCAAGTGGTTGTTTCTCCTCAGCTACAGAAACAGGCAGCTGCAAGCTTGACATGGATTCTGTATATAATCTTGCAAGGCACATAAGAACCAATTATTTTGCTGAAGAATTATGCGACACTGATAAAGGGTTGACTGATATTCTTCAGAATCTTCGAACTCTTTCTGGTTCCTTAGATGATCTACTGAACTTGTCCTTAATCAAGGACACTCCAGCTCAGAATGAAGACAAATTTTATGCTCTATTGGTTGAGATTATGTCAAAGCTTAAAAGTGGCGAGCCCATATCGACCTTTGAATTTATTGAAAGTGGAATTGTCAAGTCATTTATAAATTACTTAACTAATGGGCAGTATCTGAGGGAAAAGGGAGATCCGCAAACTATATCTAGACAATTCTCAATTATGGAAAGAAGATTTGAGGTTTTTGCAAGGCTACTCTTATCCAGTTCAGACCTTCCTTCTACAAACTTGCCACTTTTGGTATTGATAAGGAAATTACAAATCTCACTGTCATCTCTAGAAAACTTTCCTGTTATTTCTAGCCAGGGATTCAAACACAGGAACTATTTTGCTGTGGTCCCAAATGGACGGTGCATACCACATCCTTGTGTGAAAGTTCGGTTTGTGAGAGGAGACGGGGAAACAGACCTCTGTGACTATTCTGGGGATGTCCTGACTGTTGACCCCTTTTCTATGTTGAATGCCATTGAAGGGTTTCTATGGCCCAAAGTTAGCTCAAAAAGAGCTGAGCAGTCCTCTGAAGCAGATAGCCTGAGGGACCATCAAATCAAAATGCTATCAAATGTATGTTCTAGTTTGGGTGTTAACCCAAGACTAGTGGTGTCTGACAGCATGTCCACAGATTTACCTGAAATTCAGGTCTCTTCCTGTTTCCTTTTTGAAATATTGATAATGTTGGGAAAGTAATGAACTATTATAAATTGTATCATACATGAAGTAGGGTGATTATTAGTGTGATTTGCTATGCATCATGGAGGTTTGTTCTCTTTAACGATTTTATAATTCAGGCAAATAAGGGTAACATATCTCGGGATCTATTTGGTTTGAGTTCAGTAATTTTGAGTGAAAAAACACGATTAGATGAAACTTGTATTGTAAGTTTATCTTTTCAATAAGCACATATGTGAAATTGTGTTATAAAATGGATCAGTTCAGTAATAGTATGGTTTTGTGCATGATATTCTCGTATAATTGGTTACCTCACTTTTATTACATTGTTCTTTTGAGTGTCTGCTTAATCCCGGTTAAGAGCTTGATCCTATTATGGATTTTAATAATGTATGCATTTCTAAAATTTAGTCAACCTTGTTATGGTTCAGGGATTTGCAGAAGTCAGCACTGATGTGAAATCACAGTGTTCTTCATCCTGCAGCAAGAAAGACATGAAGCCCAAATTGTTACTTTTTCTTGAGGGGAAGCAGCTGGAGCCCACCTTTACACTTTATCAGGCAATTCTCCAACAACACATCAAAGAAGATGAAACCATTTCTGGTACAAGAGTATGGAGTCAAGTATATACAATAACATATAAAAGTGCTGGAGAAGTAGAGGACCACAGTTCAAATAAATGCTTTTCTGCATCAGACAAGGCTGCAACGTTGCAGTTTTCTTCATTTTTCTATGGCATTCTAAACTGTGTGCTGCCTTCTGACTTGGCAAAAGAAATTCCTGCTTATGATGTTTTATTTCTTCTAAGGAGCTTAGAGGGCATGAACAAAATGGCATTTCACATTATGTCACATGAAAGGATTCGTGCTTTTGCAGAAGGGCGAATTAAAACCTTGGACAATATAAAGCTATCAGTTCCTTCAGTGTCGCAGAATGAATTTGTAAACAGCAAACTGACTGAAAAACTTGAACAACAGATGAAGGACTTTTCTGCTGTATCCATCGGTGGTATGCCTTTATGGTGTAAGGAACTTATGGATTCATGCCCTTTCTTATTTAGTTTTGAGGCAAGACGCAAGTACTTTCGGATAGTAGCATTTGGCATGCAGCAACACCAGCCATATGTAAGATCATATAGTGACTTGGGGACCTCGAACGACTTACGATCAAGTTCTGGTGGCTTGCCTCGTAAGAAGATATTAGTTCACCGCAACCAAATTTTGGATTCTGCTGCCAAAATGATGGATCAGTATGCACATCAGAAGGTACTCCTTGAAGTGGAATACGATGAAGAAGTTGGCACTGGACTTGGTCCAACATTGGAATTCTATACTCTTGTCAGTCGTGAGTTTCAAAAGTATGGCCTTGGAATGTGGAGAGGGGATCATAATGCATTTGTGTCCAGAAAGAGCCTGAACATCGAGGATAGGGAAACTATTGAATCTCCATTTGGAATTTTCCCCCGCCCATGGCCATCAACTCTGGATACTGATGAGCAACATTATATCGAAGTAATTAAAAAATTTGTACTCATGGGACAAATTGTGGCAAAGGCCATTCAAGATGGAAGGGTTATGGATATCTACTTCTCCAAAGCCTTCTATAAACTTATACTTGGGCAGGTACCTACATGAAAATTTTTTCAAGTGCTTCCTCATCTTTTGTGCATTTCATTATTTGATTTCTTATTTATTCTTGTAGGAGGTCAGTATATATGATATCCAATCATTTGATCCAGAGCTTGGAACCACTCTGCTGGAGTTTCAAGCTCTAGTCAACAGAAGTAAACTATTGGAATCTTCCTATGGAGAAAACTCGCCGTCAAAACTTGAGTTTTGTTATCATAATACCAAAATTGAGGATCTTTGCCTTGATTTTACTCTTCCTGGTTATCCTGATTATCTCCTGATTTCTTCTCATGATCATTCAATGGTAATACCAATTTTCACTATGATTATGGTTTTGTAAGGATGCAATAAATTAAAATGCAAAATATGCCCAACTTTTTCCCCAGGTAAACACAAAAAATTTGGAGGATTATGTCTCTCTTGTTGTAGATGCTACATTAAGTTCTGGAATCTCAAGACAAATAGAGGCATTTAAATCTGGATTTAATCAGGTTAGCTTCACTATTGGCCCCTCTTACTAAAAATTGTACTTCCCATATTTACTTGGTTGTCCTAGTTATTCCTTGTAGAATGAAAACAATCCTTGGGAATTTAGTTTATGTTGCATGGGTAGAGAGTTGATGGAATTCCGTTTACATTTTGATACAGCTTCTCTAATTAAGTCCATCATTTTCAATTGGATGGTATACTGATGTTTTATGAATCATTATCGATATCTTTAGTAAATTAACTATCAAGTGATTTGGTGCCTAGTGTAACAATAGGGATATTGTATACTTTGGTTTACGTGCAGATATAGGTTCAATTATCTCATTCAAATTTTAAGGGTAGAACCGGGAAATCTCTGGTTCCAATCTCCTGGACATGTAAATATCAGTGCAACTTTGAGAGTTTATGAATTATGGTATAGACACGGTATAAAGAATGGATTAACTGTAATCTTAGAATGCAAGAAGACTTGGAACCAAAGTCATTGAAAAACTTTGTCGTCCTTACAAAGAGACACTCTACAATTTAGTTAGTTTAAAGAACAATTATAATTACCATATTTGTAGAGAAAGAAACAGTAGAGTTTTTGAAGGGATTTCTTCTAATATGGACTCTTTTACGGACGGTGTACAGCTTACGACATTTGTATGGTGCCTTAAACACGAACTTTTTTTTGTAATTATAGTTTATCTTCGATCTTTCAAAATTGAAAGGTGTTAACTTACTGGGAGGAGTCTTCTCATCTCTTTCCCTTGGGCTGTTTTGTTAGGCTGTTTTAATAGTATATTTGTCCCTTATTAAAAATATATATAATTACCATATAGAATTTATATTTTTCTGTTTTCCTCAACATCTACTCGTCTACTCACTTCTATTGGTTTCTAAATCCTAAGATGATTGTTTGTTTGTTTATTTTTCTCTCTTTCAGAGTTACCACATATTTTACATTCACGATCTTAAATTTTAAATCTCTTATGTAACCTCAGGTTTTCCCCATAGAACATCTTCAAGTTTTTACTGCAGAAGAATTAGAGCGTTTAATATGTGGAGAACAGGACTCTTGGGCTGTACGTATATCGGTTAATTAGTTTATTTACCTTTCAAGTTATTATCGATTCTAATTTCGTTCTTCGTAATCTTTTGGTGCAGTTGAATGAGCTCCTTGACAATATGAAGTTTGACCATGGCTATACGTCCAGTAGCCCCTCCATTATTGATGTTAGTTTCTAAAATGATCCCTATCTATTGTTTTGTTAAAAAAATGTAATAGATTAGCAAGATTCTCACCCATTTTTGAATTCTAGCTGCTTGGAATTATTGAAGAGTTCAACAATGAACAGCGACGAGCATTTCTACAGTTCGTGACCGGGGCACCAAGGCTTCCTCCCGGGGGCTTTGCATCTCTCAATCCGAAGTTGACCATAGTCCGAAAGGTTTTTACTTTTCATTATCAACAAATTCTCCTCAAGTATTTCATTCAATTTAACCTTATTCCTCATCCTTTCTGGATATTTTTTACACAGCACTCCAGCAATCTGGTTGATGCTGATTTACCAAGTGTGATGACCTGTGCAAACTATCTCAAGTTGCCACCTTACTCCTCAAAGGTGAAAAGACTTTTCTAACCTTTCTAGTAAACCATTGGTTTTAACTTTCATTTACATTGGATCAAAAGGGTCACTCCAAATTCACACACTCTCTCTCTCTTCCTCTTGTTCAGGAGATCATGAAAGAGAAGCTCGTATATGCCATAACAGAAGGGCAAGGCTCGTTTCATCTTTCATAGCCTCAAATTTGTGTCTATCTGTAAAAAGTGGAATTGGTAAATGGTAATTATAAGAGTAGTAATAGCTGGTGTGTAGATAAAAGGATGAAAATGGATGGAGAGGGAGCAGATTATGGTTCTTCTTCTAAATCTGGTGGGTAAGTTTTTAATGTACATAACTGGTGGTGTACATAGAATGGAAAAAGGTTGTACAGGAAATGGAGGGTTTTAGATTTATTGGCATGGACTCCCATTTTACTTTTAAACCCATGCTCACATTGTACATATTTTCATAGTAAATTAACTCGTCTGCTCTTTTTTTTTTTTGGGGGTACGTGTCGGGTGGAGTGGAAATTTATTCAATTCTCTGATCAAAACCATGCATGTTCAGAAAAAAGAATAGTAGGGGCATTAAAGGCATGTTTTTTTCTTTATTTTTTTAGTATGACAAATTTGGGAAGAGAGATAGAACTCCTAATCTTGTAGGAAATACTAAGGTGTTTTAATTGCTGAACTATGTTCATGTTTACATATGTTTAATTTTATGTTAAAGTTTTCAAATAAAAAGACTAAGGAAGCAAAATCCTTGTCTTTGGTGGACATAGAAAGATTTTTGTTTTTGAAATAAATAATAAAGAATTTAATTTGTACTTTTTGGATATAAATGGAGGAAGCTCTTTGAAGTGAGAAGAGAGTGGATAGTATAAACTATCTGATACTCGAGAGTGTGTTTTTAAACTTTGCAGGGTAAAAAAGTGCTTTTATTATTATTATTATTATTTTTTTTGAAAGTGTTTGGTAAAAAATAAAAAGTACGTTTGTAATGGCTTACAATCCTTTTTTAAATAATGATTTTGAAGTGCATTATTTAAAAGGTGATTTTAAATAATTAATTGAAAATCACTTTAAATTCACTTTGTGATTTGTAAATAATTTTTAAACTAGCATAACTAAACAAACCTATGAATGATTAGCATCACTTTTAAGAAAATGTAAAAAATACATAAATTTTAATTAAAACTAGTTTATAGAAAGTGCTTTAATAAAAAAAATATATTTTAGAAGTGATTATGAATTAAAAATTAATTCTATCAAAATATCTTATGAATGATTATTCTTGTACTATTTTTCTCGGTAACAATAAATACTATATTTTACCTTTGAAGACCATTTCTCTGTTAATACTAACAGATTTTTTTTTTTATGTGTGATTTTGAAAATTGAAGATAAATTGTAAAATTTCTCTCTTCATATGGATGCTGTCCTGATGATCAATTAGCTGTTAAAGTATCTCAATCTCTTTTGGCACATTGAATATTTGATTTTAGATAAAGTAATAATGAAAAAGCAACATAAAGGAAACAAAAATTAAAAAACAAGATCGAGGTTGTTTTCTTCAAATAGTTTTTTATTAGATATTTTATTCTAAAAGAAAAAAAAAACTTTGAAAATAATACATCAACAAAAAGAAAATTCTCAAACTACAGACATGAGGACAACACGCGCTCAACGTAGTGCGTCCAAATTCCACCCAACAAAAATCCACTCATCTCCGCTCCTCTCCTATTATCCCTTCTCCTCTATCCTCATG